CCCAGTATTTTTCTTTCTTTACCCTTAGCCCCCACTGTCCCCTCCTCACTCTCACTGAAAGTAAATAAATGCCTGAAACACATAGAAACAAGCTTATAAACTCAGGAGCAGATTTCTTCAGAAGAGACTGAAGTTAGCTTTGAGAAATATCCAAATGAAGTTTCCGAAGAGAGATGAGGTAACCAGGAGAGCGTTTATTTGCATTAGAGAAAAACCCTGCTTTGTCACAGTCAGTTTAGTTTAACGAACCCTTTTTGAGTGCCAGTTCTGCACCGGGCACTTGGCTCCTTCCTGCTTTCCCTCTCTTTTCTAAAGTGCAGTTTGGAAATCGAACGGAATGGTGCTCAAGGGGAAGTTACGTTTTACTTAACAGCATCTACCCTTTCAGAATTGCTCAAGACGCTGGAGGCTGGGTCTCATTCTTGATTAAGCCCATTTTTGTGGTTCTGCGGTGCTGACAAGATCAGTGCTTAATGTGCTTGTTCTGAAAGCCACCCCCCCCTGCTGGGGTCGAGCTGGGCATTCAACATGGCAGTTCTGGCCTCAGTTTTCTCAGCTATGAAGTGAGAGTAGTAGACTGCATTGCTTTCCTTCTGCACACTTGGAATGTGCCCCCGTCCATGTAGGGAGTAGTGCCACTTCTTTGCTGTCATCGGAATGTGTGCCTTAATTTTTTGCCCAGAGTGGTAATAAATTTATAGTACTCTAGTTGTTATCCCTCACCTGGGGTATTATTGGAGCAGAGTGGAAATACTCAGCCCATGAAAGGGTTTTGACAGTGCGAATGCCTGAGCTAATGAGCCATGATGTTTTCATCAATATTCTCAGCATGAAGATAAATGCAACTGGGATTCATAAGTGAACAAGACACAAACATAGGAACTAATTCTTTATTCTGTTAATTTGTTAGTGCTGTGTTCTGTTAGTTCTGTTAGTGCTTTATTTTGTTAGTTTGTTCTTAACATTTGGTAAAAAAAGCAAAAATACTGAATTAGTAAGAATGCTTTTTGGTGTAAGTCACACAACCATACTAATACCATTTAAGGCAATATTAAGGCAATATTGTTTAATATTGCCTCAAACAATAAAGAATATTTATTTTTCATGAATAAGACATGGCTAATCAGTGGCTCAGTGATGTCACAGAGACCTAGGTTCTGCCATTCTCGGCATGTTGGCTTCCTTTGTTAATTCTATTTTTAACTTTTTGAGGAACTGCCAAACTGTTTTCTACAGCAGCTTACCATTTTACATTCCCACCAACAGTGCACAAAGGTTGCAATTTCTCCACATCCCGCCACACTTGTTTTCTGTTCTTTTGATAGTAGTCATCTAGTGGGTATGAGGTGGTATGCTATTATAGTTTTGATTGCATTTCCCTAATATTAGTGATGTTGAGCATCTTTTCAGGTGTTTGTTGGCCATTCATATAACTTCTTTGGAGAAATGGCTAATTAAGTTCTATGCCCATTTTTGAAGGAGGCTGGCTTTTTTTTTTTTTTTTGGTCATTAAGTTTTAGGAGTTCTCTATGTAGTCTGGATATGAAATATCTTACCAGATATTTGATTTGCAAATATTTTCTTTCCTTCTGTGGATTGTCTTTTTACCCTGTTGATAGTGTCCTTTGATGCATAATTTTTAAAAATTTTCATGAAGTTCCATTTGTTACCTGTGCCTTTTGTATCCTATCCAAGAAACCACTGTCAAATCCAATGTCATAAAGCTTTTGTTCTGTTTTCTTCCAAGAGTTTTACTGTTTCAGATCTTACATTTAGGTCCTCGGTTTATTTTGAGTTAATTTTTGTAAATGGTGTTAGGTAAGGGTCTAGCTCCGTTCTTTTGAATGTTGATATCCAAATTTTCCAGCACCATTGGTTGAAAAGACTGTTCTTTTCTGACTAAATTGTCTTGCTACCCTTATAAAAAATCATTTGACCATATACATGAGATTTTCTTTCTGGGCTGTGTATTTTATTACAGTGGTCTACATATTTGTCTTTATGACAGTACCACACTGTTTTGATTGCTGTAGCTTTGTAGTAAGTTTTGAAATCAGGAACTTTTAGTCCTCCAGTTTTCTTCTTTTTTAATACTGTTTTGACTATTAATGGTCCCTTGACAGTCCATATGAATTTTAGGATAGCATTATCTATTTCTGCAAAAAATGTTAGTGGGATTTTGATAGGGATTGCACTGAATTTGTAGATTACTTTGGGTAGTATTGACATTTCAACACTACTGCCTTCTGATCCATGAACATGGGATGTATTTTATTTATGTCATCTTTAATTTCTTTAGCAATGTTTTGTCGTTTTCATTGTACAACTTCTTTACCCCCTTGGTTCATTCTTATGTATATGTATTTTAATGCTATTGTAAATGGAATTGTTTTTATAACTTCCTTTTCAAATTGTGTGTGGAAATGTAACTGATTTGTGTGTTGACTTTGTATCCTGATACTTTGCTAAATTCATTTACTAAAAAGTTTAACGGCTTCTTTTGTGGCGTCTTTAGGGTTTTCTACATAAAAGATGACATCATCTGCAATTAGAGATACCTTTATTTATTGCTTTTCGATTTTGATGCCTTTAAATTTTCTTTTCCTAATTGCTCTGGCTAGAACTTTCAGTACTATGTTGAATATAAATAGTGAAAGCAGGCATCCTTGCCTTGTACCTGATCTTAAAGGAAAAGCTTTCGTTCTTTCACTTTGAATATGATGCTTGCTGTGGATTTTTCATATATTGCTTTATTATGTTGAGGTAGTTTTTTATTGCTGTTTTGTTGATTGTTTTTATCATGAAGGGTGTTGAATTTTGTCAGATACATTTTCTGCATCCATTGAGATGTTTATGTGGTATTTTCCTTCATTATGTTGCTCTGGTATATTACATTGATTGATTCTTGCATGTTGAATTATTCTTGTATTCTAGGAATAAATCCCACTTGGTCATGGTATATAATTCCTTTTATTTGCTGCCAAATTGTTTTTGCTAGTATTTTGCTGAGTTGTGTGTTTTTGTTTTTGTTTTTTTAATCAATAATCATAAGAGAAATTGGTTTGTAGTTTTCTTGTAATGTCTTTGTCTGGCTTTGGTATAAGAGTAATGCTGGCCTCACAGAATGAGTTAGGAATTATGTCCCCCTCTTCAATTTTCTGGAAAAGTTTAAGAAGTGTTGGTATTAGTATTTTAAATGTTCGGTAGAATTCACCAGTGAAGGCATCAAGACCAGTGCTTTTCTTTGTTGAGAGATTTTTGATTACTGATTCAATTTCCATGCTAGTTATAGATCTATTCATATTTTCTATTTCTTTGTGATTAGATTTGGAAAGTTTTGTGTTTTTAGAAATATGTCCCTTCATTTCTTATCCAATTTGTTGGCCCATGGTTGATTCATAATCTTTTTTATTTCTGTAGAATCAGTAGTAATGTTCCCATTTTCATTTCTGATTTTTGTAATTTGAGTCTTCTCTAATTTTTCTTAGTCCATCTAGCTTAAGGTTTGTCAATTTTGTTGATCTTTTTGAAGAACCAACTTTTGGTTTCATTGATTTTTTTCCTATTGTTTTTCTCTTCTTTATTTCACTTATTTTTGCACTAATTTTTCTTATTTCCTCCCTCTGCTAGTTTTGGGTTAAGTTTTTTTCTCCCCTAGTTCCTTAGGTTGTAAAGTTTGGTTGTCCATTTGAGGTCATTTTTGTTTTTTAATATAAACATTTATAGCTATAATTTTCCCCTTTAACAATGCTTTCACTGCATTCCATAAGGTTTGATATGTTATGCTTTCATTTTCATTCATTTGTATTTTCTAATTTCCCTTGTGATTTTTCTTTTCTTTGATCTGTTGGTTGTTTAAGAGTGTGTTAAGATCAACCATTTTGTGAATTTTCCAGATATTCTTTTGTTACTGATTTCTAACTTTATCCCATTGTGATCAGAAAAGATACTTTGTATATCTATCTTTTTAAATCTAAAGACTTAATTTGTGGCCTAAAATATGGCCTGTTCTAGAAACTGTCCTACATGCACTTGAGTAGATTTGTATATTGTTATTGTTGTATAGATTGTTGTGTGTGTGTGTGTGTGTGAGATCTAGGTGGTTTATTGTATTATTTAAGTTCTCTATGTCTTTATTTATCTTCTATCTAGTTGCTCAACCCATTGTTGTGAGTAGGGTATTGAGGCTTCCGACTATTATTGTAGAACTATTTCTTTTTTCAATTTTGTCAGTTTTTGCCTCATATATTTTGATGGTCTGTCATTAGATGCATAAATGTTTATAATTGTTATATCTTCTTGCTATTTCAAACCTTTTATGAATATAGAATATCCTTCTTTGTCTCTTATAACCTTTTTTCACTAGTATAGCCACCCCTGCTCTCTTTTAGTTACTAATTTGCCTAGAAAGTCTTTTCCTCCATCTTTTCATTTTCAACCTGTTTGTGTGTCTGGATCTCAAGTGTGTTTCTTATAGACAACATATAATTGGGTCATATCTTCTTACCCATGCCAGTCTCTATCTTTTGATTGAAGAGTTGAGTCCATTTACATTTGAAGTAATTACTGATAAAAAGGAACTTCTGTCACTGTGCTATTTCTTATCTATAGCCTTATAGCTTTTTTTGTCCCTCATTTTCTGAATTCCTGTCTTCTTTTGTGTTTAGTTGATTTTTTTGCAGTTACATGTTTAAATTATTTCTCATTTTCTTTTGCATGTATTCTATGGCTATTTTGTATGTGGTTACCATGGGGATTACTTTTAACATCCTAAAGTTATAATACTCTAATTAGAATTTATACCAGCTTAGGCAATACGTTTTTAAACCTGATTTGTTTGTCCATGCTTACTGGCAGTAGAAAGTTTTCATATTTGAATTAATCAGTTGATAACTGAGTGACGTCAGATTCTGAAAATATGCTGCCTGGAAAGCAAGTGTACCCCAGAACTGCACAGAAGGAGTTAAAAAATACAGAAGCAGTTGGCATTTGCGTAAGGAGAGGAAAGGAAAGGGGAAATTAGTGAATGATAGCAAGGAAGCCAATGTCAAAATAGGGAATGTTATTTGGGTTAGGGAGCCATTCTCATAGAGATTTGTCATAATTTGATAGGGTTTTAGATAATATCTTAATAACTGTATGGCACCCTTAATTGGATTTGTATTTAATTACATTAATTGAGAGAACAGATTTGGAATGTTCATGATTATTACATTCAATTAGGCCTGAAAACTTCAACCGTGAATGAATAATGAGAATAATGAATCTTAAATGGCTGTAGGAAGAAAACTCATCCAGTGTAAAGTGTAATTCAAGCTATTTCTGCAGTAGGAGCATGTTTAGTTGGAGGCAGATGCAGTACTCCTGTCTCCTGGAAGCAACATGGTGTTGTAGCTCAGGGCTCAGGCTGCCGCTAGTTCCAGCCCCAGCTCCACCACGTATAACTCTTTGGGTCAGTTACTTAAACTCTTTTGCCTCAGAGCCTTTATCTGTAAACGGCGATGATGTTAAGGATAGCACCTACCTGGGGTAGGTGTGTGGAGATCAAATGAGTCGATGTACACAGCGTGCTTAGAGCACTGTCTAGCACATATTAAGCACTTTATAAATAAGAGCTGCTGTTGTCATTGCATAAGAGAGGTAAGGATTGGCAAACCTTTTGCTGTCCTAGTTGACAGATTCAAGTCTGAAATCTTGGCAGCCCCAGCGTGCGGAGATGATGGCACCTATCATTCTCATCCATCACCCCCCACCTTATCTCTTGACACCCCACAAGGGAAATTATCTTTAGAAGACTCTAGGCTGTCCCTTATGGATATGGTAAGTTCAGCCTTCCACCTTCCTTATAAATGAGGCACCTGCAAACTAAAGCCTGTAGGGCAAATTTGGCCCACCATCCATTTTCATATGGGCTCCTCAACTAAGAATTGGGCTTTCAATGGTTGAAAAAAATCAGATGAAGAATATGTTGTGACATAAAGAAAAGGATATGAAATTCAATGATCAGTATCCGTAAATAAAGTTTTATTGGAACACAACCATGCCGGTTCATTTATGTGTTATCTGTGGGTGCTTTTATTTAAGAATGGGGTAGTTGAGTAGTTGCATTTGAGACCCAATGGCCTGCAAAGCCTAAAATATTTACTATCAGGCCTTGTACCCCCAAAACTTACACACCCTTACATTAAATATCATTCAGTGCTTCACATTCTCCTATAATTTCTTGATAGAAAATACTAGGCCATAATTTTGCATTCAGTTTTTAATCTCCCAGCTTTTCTTTTCTATTCTTACATTTATCATGTGTATAGCTGTTAATCATTAATTCAGGGCTTTCCTGGGCGCCATGTCTTAATTATGAAGACCAACTTTAAGATATCTGAATACTTTGACCTGTAATTGTATCTTGTACACATGAACTCTTACTGGGAGAGAATGGTTTTCCTTTCATAGAATCTTAGATTTGACTTCAAGGGACTTCAGGGTCATCTGGTTGAGCTCGCTGACATAGGTGAAGAAATAGAAGCCCCAAGAAGTGACATAAATGATTCACTCTCACAGGGCCTGGTCAGCATAGAATCAGAACTAGTTTATATTTCTTGGTCTGATTCTGTCTCTGTTTCCATCTTACCAGTTCTTTATTCCCTAAAACAACTGTCAAGGCCAACTTGTGTGTAGACACTGAAGGCCTTGCAGACCCAAGTCCACCCTAAATGAGTTGTGTCTGCACAGTATTCGTACTTAGGATTTGCTTATCCCTGTCTCTTTGGAGAAGTCGTTGAGAGGCTTTGGTAAAGAGCTACAGAATAAAGAGATGAAAATATTGCTGTCTTTGGATTCATTTCATCATGTCTTTGAACTATGGCTAAATATTTTGTGGGGTACAGAGCAATATCCACAGTCAAAAGAAATAAAGCTCATGGAATGGGCACTGTGTACCCAGAGAAGAGAAAGAAAATGAGATTCAGTTATTTATTAGTAATTGGCCCAAATGTTTCCCTCTTTTGATCCTTCAGTTATTTTCCCCATAGTCCTGGGTCCCCTTTTACATTCTAGGTGTGATTAGGTCTTACCTGAACTCTATGAGGAAAAATTGAACTTGAAGAACTGGGTGGATTATTTTCAAATGTTATAAAAGGAACATAATGTGAAACAAGGTATTCACAATCTGAAAATCACCTGTATTTATTTTTAAATTTTTATTTATTGATTTCTAGAAAGAGAGAGAAAGGGAGAGGAGGTGGGAGAGAGAGAGAGAGAGTGGGGAGGGGGGTTGGAGAGACAGAGAGAGAAACATCTATTTGTTGCTCCACTTATTTGTGCATTCATTGGTTGATTCTTATATGTGCCCTGACTGGAGATCGAACCTGCAACCTTGGCGTCTCAGGACAACGCTCTAACCAACTAAGCTACTCAGCCAGGGCTGAAAATCACCTCTATTTAACTTTAGAAGAAATAAGACTAACTTTCTGGTTGTATTTACTTTCTAAGGTACAATGTCCTACAATCATAATTTGAATCACTTAAGAAATGTAAATGTGCTATTACCACTGGAGGTTAGTTAGTATCTTAACTTAAAAGGAAAGTCTCTCAGTTTGTTGTTACCTGCTTGATAAGCAAATATTGACCCTTTCCTCTGACCTACTCCTTTCATTTCTTGGTTTTAAGCCTCTGCCTTTTGCTTACTTTGAGTCTCTGGTTTCTTCTCACCTTCATTTTTTCCTTCATTACCCTTCAAATTTTGAAGCTCAGTTTGGTTTTCTAACTATATACACAGTTCCTGCCTTCTGTAATTTATTTCCCAACAACTATGAATCATCTATTTTTTAAAAATGCTTCGCTCACACTTGGAATTTTCAACTCATTCATTTGTTATTATTTATTCTGCTTCTCCACTATGTAACACAATGCAATACTTATCCTCCTGAGGGTCTCATAAAATCTCAGTTCACAGGATGTGAATCCTTTGTATACAAACTCAGCTTCATAGCCTCAGGTCGCCTAGTGTCATACCTGAGCTTTGAGGGCAGCCTCTACCACATCGGGCTTGTAGTTCCCATGACTGCCCTTGATCTGTCGGGTAGGAGCCCTGAAAGCTGGTACAGCCAGGCCTGCTGTCAGGGAGGGACAGTGCTGGGCCGGGTGGCATGAGACCTGGGTTTCCTGGACCTGGGCCCCTTCCTAATCCTTACCAAATTTCTCCCTCTCTTCTAGTTTCTATGCTCGTGTCAATAGGGAGATTGAAACAGATAGTCTGAATTTCTAAATGTGGGAGTGGCACCGAGAGAAGGGAATTGTGTAGCGTGGGCTGTTGTGAAGGCAGAAGAGACGCTAGATGGAAGGTCATAGAGGGAGAAGGCCGAGCTTTGGAATACTCGGGGTCTCATCACATCAGAGAGATGCTTTAACGGATTGCGCAACAATGTTGGAGTTGAAGAATCCCTCAAAATAACATGGTTTGACTCCTTTCGCAGAGAAGGGAATCACCCGTTTGTGTTGTCCCCCATTTCTTCGGTTGTCACTATCAGCTCACGCAGAGCCTGTGGACTGCAGGGCCTCCTCAAAAGAATTTCTTCTGAGTGTCCTGTGAGAGAGAAGCTTTTATTTTGTGAAAACACAAGTGTTTTTCTTGACGTTTCTGCACGTGGGTGAAGCAGACCTTTGAGGAGGCTGATAAGAACGGTGACGGCTTATTGAATATTGAAGAGATACACCAATTGATGCATAAACTAAATGTCAACCTACCCCGAAGAAAAGTCAGGCAGATGTTTCAGGTATGTTTTCACAATCAGTCTGGTCCTAGATAAAAGCCGCATTAGTGGTTTTTGGGGTGCTAAGATATTTCAAAAGGCTACTTTGTTTTGCTGGAAGCTAATATTACCTGCTGTGTATTGCTTTATTTTTCTTTGATGAAGAGAAGCATTTCATTTCATCAAGGAAAAGAAAAGGCTTTCTAAACTTAACATACATTCATAATTTCACTTCCTAAAATGCCTTTGCACTGCTGTTTTCAGAGCGGTAATAAGCACTTTACCTGAGAAATAATGGAGTAAATGTGATCAGGTCTCTTAGAGAGGATGTGACTGTCTCCTCTGTCTACCTCACAGGCTGTTGTGAAGATCAGAATAAAGACATGGAAAAAATTTGCACTTGTTGAAATCTTCAAGAGCCCTCTGTTTTGTTTCAGATGAGTTTATGATTCAGAATCCATAGGGCTTAGAAGCACTGTGTCACTCCTACCATTTAGAGAGCTCTCCAGAAGTTTATTCCACTGCTTATTGATATTAGATGAGATGCTCTTTCCCTGTTGGTAATTCCTTGAGGAAAGTCCTTGGGCCCAAACTTATTCTGTGGCACCCAGCTGGGATTTTACTTAGTGCTCCACCTAAGGTACAGAAGTCAGCTCTGCTAAGTTTGAGTTGCTGCAAACACAATGTTAGATTATTACTAATCACTAGAATATGAATTTAGGAAAGGCTCTTATTTGGAGGCAAGTTGTATGCATAATCCATGTTTTGCAATGATTTTCTAAGTGACTAGGTAGGTGATATTTTGTACCTGTAAAAATAAGTATAGGGGGTGATGTTTTATGCTTTGTTTTCTAACCACTTGCTCTTAGAGGCGGTGAGGCAGAAACAGCGTGAGGGGTGAGTTGTAACAGTGAATGGACGATGGAGTCTGGCTTCCATCTGTGACCTCGCACAGTGGTCCTGCCATTGGAAGCTCTAGGCTGGAGATGTTCGCATTGTGGGGAACTTGGTCCCGTTGCACTGGAGAACAGCACGAGAGCAAGGAAAGAAGTGGAAGGAATGAGATATGCTATAGAAGGAACCCCAGAGATAGACTGAGGGACTTTGGCAAATGAGTTGTCACATATAGAGTGAATTGTCTTTAAACTATATGAAAAGATTTGCCATGCTTCTTGCAGGGTTCTGTAAGTGCTCATAGTGGGAGTGATCTTAGTATTGTTTCAACTGCTGAGCCACGCCCGGCTGGGCTATATCTATTTTCTTTAGCTTAAATTTTTTCTAGGTTCTTAAGTTGAATTATTAACATCTCTGTTTTGAATCTGCCTTGCTTTCTAATACATTGAAAACGTCAGGTTTCCTCCAATTACTGCTTTAACTTCACACAAGTTATAATAATACGTGGTGTGTGCGTTCACTTCTGTATGTTTCATTTCCTATTTAGAAATGTATTATGTTGTTTCCAGATAGAGTTTTTTAAGCTTTCTTGTTGATTTATAAATTTACTGTGCTGAGAGAAATTAGTTTTTATAAGCTTGATATTTTATAATTTGTGACGTTGCTTGTGGCCTACTGTATAGCCAATTTTAAAATTGACTCATGCGTGCTTGAAAATAATAGGCGTTTACCACTTGTGAAGTGTGTACTGTGCTTTTCATAGTAAATATTATTTACCAGCACTGAATTTCCTATTTCAAACTCTCTCACTGCCTTGCTTTTAATATGCCTCTTTCAGGAAGCAGATACAGATGAGAATCAGGGAACTCTGACATTTGAAGAGTTCTGTGTTTTTTACAAAATGATGTCATTGAGACGGGACCTTTATTTGTTGCTCCTGAGCTACAGTGACAAGAAAGATCACCTAACTGTGGAAGAACTGGCTCAGTTTTTGAAGGTGGAACAAAAGGTATTATTCTAAGACTATGGAGTTGAATGTTTACTTAAAAATATTTATGAAAGATACATGAGTTTTTCTTGGGGTTGGACGTAGATCGTAAATATAGTTTAAATTTAGGGTAGAGGTAGAAACATCACAATTCCAAAACAGCTTATCTGTGAGTTTTTAAAAATATGTTCTAGCAGCTTTTTAAAGAGGGCGTCTAATGGTAACCTCTCGGTAGTCGGTAGTTAGTGCACCCAGTTAATGTCGGAGAATTGGAGATTTGGTTGTTGTAGAAAAAAGACACTAGGCCTGGTAACATTTCACTTTACTCCATTACCATAATCACATACACTTTAGGAATAACAGGTTCAGATTTTATAAATTTTGTTGTTGCTTTCTTAAGGATTAAACCAGATAGTGTTAGCAAAATGTTTTATCTAAATCAGTTATTTTAATTAGTTTGATAATTTGACAAAGACAGAGATTCTCTATTTAAAAAGTTAGCTATAAGACAGGTAGAAAATGGGAAAGAGGTAAATTTTTTTTTGCCCAGAGAATGTGCCCTTTCTACATTTCTACTCCTTTGTTCCCTGCAAGTATAATGGCTTCTCCATTCTCATCTGAAGAGCACTTCATAGCATAGTGGGAAGAATATTAGACCAGGAGCCCACAACACCTACATTTCACACCCTGTGAGCTTTATTGGTTGGAGAGTCTTAGGCAGATCAATTGATACTGTTTCTGAGCCTTGGTTTCCTGAGCTGCACAAAGGGAAGCAATATCTACCTTTCTTATCTCACAATTTCAAATTGAAGACTGGTTGGAATGATGACCTGGAAGGCCCTTTGGCAGATATTCAGAAGCACAGCAATGTGAGAAATTAAAATTAAAATGTTTAGAGCTACTGACTTCAAATTCATTTGGGCCAGTGGAATTAACCCATCCATTTGAATAGCAATAGTGGGTGGATGTCACTTGCTAATGGGCATGTGTCTTCCCTCCTTTTCATTGTAGTGACACTCAAATGAAATGATTCTCTTTCACCTTATCAGCTTTGTCAAATGGGAGGTAAAACGGGAAAGTGGACAAGAAAGAGCATTAACCTATCTTGAGCCTTCATTCATACAGTAAAACCCCAATATAACTTTTTAAGTAAGGTCTAAAAAATTTAATTGTGGAACATGTAGAATTTTACTTTTGGGAGGTTAATTAAATGAGAATAGGGGTAGGGGAAGGATAGGAGCTGATTGACTCTTATATTTCAATTTTCATTATTACAAGGTTTTACTGTATTTTACTTAATACTTGAATTTTGGGTAGAAAGTAGATTATTTCTCATCAATTCTTTTATGGTACCCAGAAAATGGTGAACTTTCTAGAATCCTTACTAATATTTTCACCAATTTTATACTTTTCAAATATGATGCATTTTGTTAGCATGTTCTGCTTTGTGTCTTGAATTAGTAACATGCTCTTGCTCATCTGCAGTTAGCTCCTTCTCAGGATGACCATTTCTTGCTGGTTTTTTGTTTGTTTGTTTAGGCTTTTTTTAGATCTCATGTGCTCTTGGTAGACTACCTGAATCTAGTTTGAGGCCCTTACAGCTCTGAACAAATGGCCTCATAAACCAAATCATTACAATATAAACTCAGTCTTTTTATTTTGTGAGAGATTATTTATCTTTTGGGCTGCATGTGATAAATCTATCTCACATGTAGCAGACAAATGAATGAGCTTCTCAAAGCCTGACTAAGCCAGTAGAATTCCTTGCAGGTAGCATGGTTTCTTTTATTTATGGTGTTTTCAGTTGATGCCTTGTAATGTAGGCCTCTGAATAAAGTAAGAATTTTAAATTTTACACAAAGGATGGATTAGACATTATGCAGCTAGTGGGAGGGTGGGGGTGGCGAGGAAGATTCTGTGCTTGCTCAGACAGGCAAAAAAATAGCTGCATACCAGAGCTTTTTCCGCCTGAAAAAAGTTTAAATGCTATTAAGTAGACTATTTAGAAAAATTAGATTTTGCTAAATCATAAGTATTCAACCTAAGAGATAATATAATCTTTGAGAATTATCACTGAAATCTGAAATACTGGCTCACAAGATTAGCTTCCTCTATCACTATTCATTAGTATTTTAAATGTCACTGCTAAACTGTGGGGCCCAGTTGATTTTTGATCAAAATATCACATCCTTTGTGTTGCTACTTAATTAAATCAATTATTCCTGAAGAGTTTACTTTTCCCAATGACACTGAGTGTGTAATATTCATGCAGCAACCTTGAGGCTGACTCAGTAATAATATCTGACCTGCCTTTTGGCGTTCACATTAATATTGTTACAAATATTAATTCATTTAATCCTCACAGCTACCTTATAAGGTAGCCACAGAGAAAGTAAGTGGCTCAGTCAAGATCACACTGTCAATAGTATGAGCTAGCTGATTTGAACACAAGCAGTCCAGCTCCAGAGTTTTCTGTTATGCTAGCTGTCTCACCTAGCTTTTTGTTTATATATTTCTTGCTAACCTTTGTGTTCTTGAATTAGCATGACAGGCTGCTCTCATGATTCAATGGAAGGATCTGTAGATACACACATGCACAGGTAGATTTACGTACAACATCCTGTTTTGGTAAAGAATAATTTTCTTTCAACATATGATTAGCAAGGTCCATTGTCTGTGTAGAAAACACTACTTTTACAGAGCTACTAGCTTACAGTGAGTGAATTTTTGGCAATGGATTTGCATTGATTATTAATTCTATTTAATTAATTTTATTGCTTCATAGAGCACATTTTTCTAGTAGTCGAAGGGCTGTTTACACTGATTAAAATCTGAAAGATTCAGGGAGTATTGAGATAATGATCATTTTACAAAGATAAAGTGTTTGTGACATTAGTAACCACAAACTGTTTATTTAACCACTTTGAACTATATCAAAGAATGCTTAAAAAATTGGTATGCTTTTTTAGTGTAGAGAAACACATCTCATGAAATTTCAGGAACTCCACTAATGTTCTGTTTTGTTTAGATGAATAATGTGACAACAGATTATTGTCTTGACATCATAAGGAAATTTGAAGTTTCAGAGGAAAATAAGGCGAAAAACGTTCTTGGCATAGAAGGTAAAATGACTAGTATTCTTAATTTCTCATTCCTCCATTCAGTTCACTAAGTTAAATTCTAGCAAAATTTTTAGGAAAAGAAGTCAGAGTATCTCTGGGATTACTGCTGATTCCAGTACCTATTTTCCTACAAGGCAGCTGCCATGACATTGCCTCTTCTCTTACTTTCGCAAAGATGGTACACATTTTCGATTCCTAGCAAGTCAACGTGAAGGTATGAAAGATGCTAAGAAATATTTGGACTTCTCTCAAATAGCTAATTTTTGAAAGTAGCCTCAACCTGATAATTTTACAAAGGCAAATTTGGTCCTAAAATAAGTGATCTAGGAATCTAGTGACTTGAAAGTAAACATGTTTCTTTAAAAATGTTGGCAACGAACTAGTTTTACCTAGTTGGTAGCAGTGGAGAAGTTTGTTGGAACCACAAATCTCTTTAATGCATTTTATAATCAAGGGAAGTGAGGCTCAAAGAAGTTAAGTAATTTGCACACAGGTATATACTCAGAATGTAGATCCTAGGATCTTATATATAAGTAGTATGATATGAATATAACTACTAGCTACATGTATGTCTAAATTATATGTAATTAAAATATGTGGGGAAATAAATTGCAGGCTTGTACTGAAGAGGAGAATCTTCCAGGCAGAACAGATATTCTTATTGAAAGACCACAGGGCCATCCGCTGCCCTCAAGCGCAGGCAAAGCCATGGTTGATCTCACCATTTTTGCTTGTTGGCCTCCTAGTTCCCCTGCTCCCAGGCTCAGTGCAACAAGGGGGTATTGGTACCATGTGTTTACTTCCTGGGGTGGAGGGTAATTAAAATGAAAAGGAATAATTTAACATTTATATCATCAAAACCATTTAAAAAAAGCCAGAAAAAATAAACTAATTTGGGCCTTTACTAAGAAATGAATCTTTTCCTTGATTTCTAAGTTTTGGCTAAAAAGAAGGGCATGAAGAAATTATGGAGTCTCAAAGGATATTTAGAGAGAGTTTTACCAAACGACTCTTGAAGGTTTGAAGCAATTTATCCTAATAACCATTTCACTTAGGTACTTGTGAGTCATTCCTGTATTTATTCATACATTAATGAATGCCTCTTCTACCGAGACGTTATGTTTTGCAAAACTGTAGAAAAACTGATAGAGTTTTCTACAGAACCTTTAAGTATTATTTCATAGTTACTAACTGTACTGGCAGTTTGCAGCATCTTCCCAAGCCAATTTCATAGTCAAATAATCACACCCTGAATTCTGGCCATGCCTAACTTTTGGTCTTCTACCTGAACTATGGCACTAACATAATACTATTTTCCAAATTAACTTAATAACCTATCAAACTGTTGCTGGATCATTGTACATTAGTATAAATAATGCTCGAGCATTGCGTCAGTCACCGATTAAGTCACACTGCATAATCCTAGCTTGAGCTCAGTAGTTACTGAACAGCTTTGCAGGAAGCCCTCTCCTCCACTCAATCAAAATTCTTAAAAAGTCTATTTTTCTGTAGGTTATGTTTAAACTATTCCTCCCCAAAGTCATATTTAAGCTTTTACACTGTCTACTTGACCTGACAAGTCTTCTCGTTGCCCCAGTGTTCCCTGCCAAGGCCGTGCTGAGGGGAACTGAGATCATCGCTGTGAACATGCCTTGCTCTCTCCTGTCCCTGTTAGCAGTCAGGCAGGCACATAGGCTTTAAAGCTCTTATATGTCACTCTCTTCCAAAGGCTTCACTAACTTCATGCGAAGTCCTGCTTGTGACGTTTTTAACCCATTGCACCATGAAGTGTATCAGGACATGGATCAGCCCCTGTGCAACTACTACATCGCGTCCTCGCATAACACGTACCTGACCGGGGACCAGCTCCTGTCGCAGTCCAAGGTGGACATGTACGCGCGGGTGCTGCAGGAGGGCTGTCGCTGCGTGGAAGGTGCGTCCTCTGTCTGAGCTCCAGTTCGTGTTGGCAAACATGCCAGTCACTGTGTGCCATGTACAAGCGCCTTTATATATGTACGTAATCGTCACCGAAACTTACGATGCAAGTGCTGTTATTATTTTCCTTTCATAGGTGGGAAAAGCAAGACTTTAAGTGATTCAGCCACTTGTCCCTGTTCACATGAATCGTGGCAGCGCCTGAGGATTTGAACTTAGGAAGCTGATGTTATAACTACTGTAGAATTAATAAAACGGAAATAAATCTAGTGGAAACGTAATGAATTTAAGTAAACAATAATGCAAAGCCCTGTGGCGTCTTTGCTAACTTACAAGCACTCACAAATTATTTATCATCTTTAATCCTTTATTCTGATAACTATGCCAGAACACCGATTTCTCTGTTTTGACATCCTTGTCACGATTATAACACGTATCATCACAAATAATAAAATAATATTTGTCTGAAGTTTCCAGAAATACGAGTAAGGGTCAGAAACTGCGGCTGTTGACGTGAGTTCTGTTTTTGGCAGTGGACTGCTGGGACGGCCCAGACGGGGAGCCTGTCGTCCACCACGGCTACACTCTCACTTCCAAAATCGCCTTCCGCGACGTCGTGGAGGCCATCGACAAGCACGCCTTCGTCAGCAACCCGTGAGTGCCGCGCCTGGGCCCAGCGGCCACGGGCCTTCTCGGAGGCCTCGGCTCCTTTCTGCCGCCCGGTCCTCGCCCTCCTCCCCAGCAAGCGCCGTGAACAAATAATGTGGACGCGATGTGCGTCTGCCTCGCGCCCCGCTTCCTCCTCGCGCCGTCTGCCTGCAGGCGGTGCCGCCTCAGAGCACGGCCTTGCGAAGAGTGACCTCGGGGTGCCTAAGCCCAGGGGGTGCAGAGTCCCTAACGCCTGGAAGCACAGGTCACTGCAGAGGAGCTTACCGACGTGATGTTACAGTTCAGTAAAGTCATAGCTAGGTTTCCAGACTTGCCGGATGCCCAGACAGGCTGCAGTGTCTAGGGTACTTGTACTAGCTGACTCCTGGTATTTGGTACTGTGGAATGTTTCCTCCCCAGTACTTGCTCTCTTTGGTTCTGTTATAACATGCTCTCCTCCATTGCTGTCATTGCTTCCCACTCTTTTTTTATTTTTTTTGGCCTATGGTCTTCTGTTTTATTTCCTCACTCCTTTAATAGTCATTATTTCCCAAGTTGTTGTCCTTGGCCTAGTTTTTTAGTGACTTGTCTAATTATATGTCCAGAACTTTCCCCTAAGTTTCAGAGCTATAAAGAAAAATTCTTAGTAAAAATTCATCTGTGTGTCCATCCCATAGGTACCTCAGAATCAATAAATGTCATTATTTATTTAAGTACTTATTGATGCCTACTCTAAGCAGGGCATCCTGGAGTAGGTGCAGGGAGCCACGACAATGAACAGAAGATCAGACTTCCAACATCAGGGAGCTTATATCCCAAACTGAATTTACCATCTCATCCTGCCATACCTCCTCTGGCTCTGTATTTTTTTTTAAATCCTCACCCGAGGATATGTTTTCATTGATTTTTAGAGAGAGAGAGAGAGAGAGAGAGAGAGATTTGAGGTGTTCCCCATTATTCCGCCTGCCTAATTCTTGCTCGCCCCACAAGCCTGCTTAAGCATTGTCTCGCTGGCAAACTGCTTACTGATGCCTCCAGCTGATTTGAATGCTCCCCTTTCAATGCTCTTAGCCCCTCAGCATGTTTCTATCACGTCATACAGCACCCTCTTATAATTGTCGGTTACTTGCCTTCTTTTTTAAGTCTTTAAGATCATGAACTCGTTGAAAATACGAGTCTATGTCCTATTCATTCTTTATTGCCCAGAAGGCACCTGCAGTATGCCAGACACTCAGGAAATGATGTTGGAATTTAAAGAAACAAATTCAAATTACAATTGCATAAAATTAATCTTTTAAAAGTTAGTAGCCTTTAAAATTTTTAATATTTGCTCTTGTCATTAATTAACCATGAGGTTAAAATGCTGTTCTAATAAGAGGCCCTTGCTGCATAGCAGGTTTAGTTTACAGTGTCTTCTACATGGAAGAACCTCAAGTACTGATTTCCAGTGGATCATTACTGCTAGTCTTAGCCGAGTTTAAGAAGGGATTTTACCGCTTTGTCCCCAATATGTGAAGTAGCATATCGAGAAGACCTGCTCCCCATGTACCTCAACGGAGGCTCTGGTGACCTGACAGTGCTTACTTCAAGTTTGGGAACCCTTAGGAGAAGAGCACTTGAAATTAAAACAATTAATAAGCTTGTTTAGCACATTTTAAGTTCATTCTTTTCCTTTTCTTTCTTAAACTTTAGTTGCATGTTTAAACCAGGGTTTCTCAACCTTTGCTCTATTGACATTTTGGGCCAGATAACTGTTGTGGGGAATTGTCTGGTGCGTGTAGGGTGGTTAGCATCCGTGACTTTACCCAGTCAGTGCCAGTAGCAGCCCTCATATTGTGACCACCAAAAATGTCTTCAGACATGGGGGGCAGCACAGTTGCCCTCCTCCCCTGTTAAGAAACCCTGCTTTACATTAAGCATCTTTAGACACTAATAGGCTTTTTATAAACAGGTTGGTAATTGAAAAATTCCCTGTTAGAGTTCCGTGATGTGATTGCATAGACAACTAAGGGCTGCTGGCTTGTTGTTGTTTATCTCTTTCTACTGCTCTGTGTAAACCCCATGTGAGGACACAGGAGCAAGCAGATTAGTCAGGTAACCAAACCAGCTTCAGTCACAGAGGTTCATCTCTTAAATTACCTCTGGTATCAGGTTTTACTAATAAGGATAGGATATAATTTCAGGAGGTCGCAACCTGTATGGTGGAGTTGATGCTTATTACAAGCCCAGAAGTTAAAAAAAAAGTTCTCTCCTTAGATGTTTTAGACAATTTAAATATTGATTTGTAACTCTGGAAAAAATATGTTGCCTGGTACTTTGGGAGATATTGATGGAAAACTGGAAAAAAAAAATCACAATAAACCTGAATTTGAAGTAATTTCTCACTCTGAGGAAAAAACAAAGTAAGAAGAGGAGGAATGTCATGTCATCAGTCGTGCTCCCCTTTCTGGCTTGGCCGCCACCTTCAGGCTGCCTTTGCTCTCACTCTGCTCAGGGGTCAGATTCTCAGGACAGAAACCTGGGTTCTGCTGGAGAGCGAAAGTTTGATTTTCTTTCTCTGAAAGTAAACACTAGTATATAATTCTCTACAAATGATTTTTAAGTGTCTGGTGTAGGGTCCTATCAAGCACAAAATTCCATTATTTTATTCTCAAGAGTGATAGTCAAGCTGGGGGCTTATTGTATATTTTATTTATACATTTTATTTATAATATATGGTATTAAATGCAGATGTCTCCACTTAATGATATTTGGGGCTCTCTTAGATGTTTCTAGACCTTTGAATAAATAAAACAAAATTGCATTATTTGAGCTTTATTTCTTCAGGCTTCTTATTTCCCTTAAAATTTCCTCTCTTGTTCATTTGAGATATATACACCATTTTTTTCCATGATACAAAATATCAAACTAAGTAATCCCACATGGATTAGTATTTTGTTCGGCCATTTTGCCTGGCAAATACATGTACTCAGAGGAGTTTTTTTGTTTTTGCTTTTTCTGTAACACGCCTCTCATTTTCCTTGTTTCGAACCATTTCAATCATCCACTCTCACGGGTTACTAGGCTCGCAGGAGCATAGTGAATACAGAATGATTTTTGAAACTCCCTGAGGTGCCCGGGCTGCTGTTCCTTTAGAATGTGCTGCTGTTCCCGCAGGTTCCCGGTCATCCTGTCCATCGAGAATCACTGCAGTGTCCAGCAGCAAAGGAAGATTGCTCAGTACCTGAAGGGAATATTCCAGGACAAACTGGACCTGTCGTCTATAGACACGGGAGAGACCAAGCAGCTTCCAAGCCCTCAAAGTTTGAAAGGCAAGATACTAGTGAAGGTAACTAGCCGAAGGAACACAGGAAGGCGAATGGCCAGCTCAGCCCGCCCTTAAGGACTCCAGACTGGTTTCTCAGGGAAATAATAACTGTGTATTCTGGGATTTATTTTTATGAAGTGAGATCGTCAATACTGTAAACCAAAGGCTTAATATTTTAGTCTTGTATTAGTTCACACTGGGGAGCTGTGTAGGGTGCAGGGGCGGAGAAGGCTCCTTTATCTGAAAGAGTTTCTTTTAGGTTCTTCTCTCATATTTCAAGCTCTAATAACTGTCAAAAAAAAGGTCTTCACGGTTGATTGGCCCTGGTTATGTGAGTGAGAAGCTCCCCTCAAAGAGGAGCCCAGCGCGGACACAGCCCCCCCAGGGCTCGCGTGCGTGCGAAGGAGCAGTCGGTGACTAGCCTCGCATTTCCTAAGCAGATTTTTGTGAGAAGGGGAACTTACTACCTGCAATGAGTATTATTGCAAAGAATAGCCAGAAAGACAGTTCCTTGAGACTACAGATTGCTTTGTGATTTTACTTCATTCCAGTTAATTATGTGATTGGATTAAAACTGTCTTGCATAGTTGTATTGTTTTGAGACTAAAAACCTAAGGAAGAGCAGTAGGGTATTAATATTCAAACTGGATTATATTTTACCTAAAAGGAGTGTGTACAAAAAACCCAAATATCACATAGGCTGTGCAGAAAGTCAAAGAAACTGTGATGTCATAGCAAGACCTTAAGGGCGAGCAGCAGATGGGAATGCTCTTAGGGGTGGGGTGATGCTTGTTGTGATGAGCCATATGTTCTCCAAAATGAGCCTGATTTTTACTTGTAAATATAACATCCCTAATTAATTATATTTAGTTGAAAGTAATTAAACTAATTTTTCTTGAAAGTCTCTTCTCCCTTGTTTTGCCTGTAACTCAAACTATCTGCTTTCTAGTCAGTCTGAAGTAATGACTGGCCAAGGGATTACATATTTTTATTTTTCACTTTTAAAAAATTATTTTTAGTTGTAGTAAAATGCAAATATTAAAATTTACCATCTTAACCATTTTTAAGTGCACGTTTGAGTAGTGTTAAGTACATTCACATTGCCTTGTAACTAATCCCCAGGAGAACTCTTTTCCTCTTGTAAAACTGGAACTCCATACCCATTAGACACCTCCCCACCCTTCCCTCGCCACAGCCCTGGTAACCACTATTCTACTTTCTGTCCTTATGAATTTGACTGCTTGGGGTACCTCATATAAGTGGAATCATACCATGTGTGTTTTTCGTGATGGTTATGCCACTGAGCCTAATGTCCTCAGGCTCATCCATGCTGTAGCATGTGTCATAATTTTTCTCCCCTTTTTTGGCTGAGTAATAAGCCATCATATGCACGTATCACATTTTGTATGTCTACTCATCTGTTGGTGGACACTTGGATCGCTCCCATCTTTTGGCTATTGTGAATTTATTTTCATTTTTAAGTCGAGTGCTTTGTTTCATTTCAGGGTAAGAAGTTGCCTTATCACCTTGGAGACGACGCCGAGGAAGGGGACGTTTCCGATGAAGACAGCGCAGATGAAATTGAAGACGAGTGCAAGTTCAGGCTCCATTATGTAAGTTATGGACTTGGCCATAATTTTCACCTCCTTTCTGCTGCAGTAAAAGTCGCAGCTGTGTTGGAATCCTCGCAAAGAGAAGGATATTTGTTGGGTGAAATAGGATACCTGTTGGAAGTTACTTTGTGTGCTTGCACAGACCTCTCAAGTGTTTATTGAGTGAATGTGTCCAGGATTCTTATGTCTTCGAGTTGGATGGAATGCTAGTGGTTAACCCATCTGACCCTATCTCCAGGGACAAATCCTGTTATTACAACTTGGGCAAAACTCAAATTGCGGTTAGAAATGTCACTGTCTTTGTTGAAATAGACTGACTGTAGTATCGTCTCTCTGCCTCCTGCTCGCTGCCACGCTGCCTGTCAAGGCTGGCACACAGGCCTGCTGCTAAGAAAGTGGACGTGGGCCGGAGGATTTCCAGGCTCTTCCAGACATGGGACTCTTGGCTTGCTCTTTAATTTGCCGCATCTTAAATAAAATGGCATAGAATAGCTTGTTACCTGCATGGTGCTTCAGACTCCTGTCCTACATCAAGGAGCTGCCTTTCTAGAAAAGCACCATTGAGCCAGGCCATCTGAGGGAAATGCAAGCCTGGGGGAATGCAAGGTGTAAAGAGACACCCCCTCCTTCCTGGGGACTAGGATTTCTTGACCTCACCCCCGCCATCCCCATTTTCTACTACTCATGTGATTGTCAGGATCACACGACACCCTGAGAGTAGCATTTGCTCATGTTAGTTTGAGTTTACAATTTCATTTATGTAGAAAAGTGGTAGTCCTCTAGATAGCAGGGCTATTATTCTCTCCTCCATAAAACAGAGAAATTTTGTATAAATTCTTCTAATTTGCATCATTGCCCTGAATTCACTTATTATATTGTTAAATGTCCTCTCTCTTCTAGACACTAATAACTGTGCTACCTTCCTATAGGTACCAAAGGGAGCCGGCATCATTTTGAAAGGTGGCAAGAGCTTAAGGACAGCTGAAGTCTGAGTAGACACTTCTCTCTTGGCTTTAATACACTTTAAAAGATTCAGCTTGAGATGAAAAGGAAAAATCACCATCTGTATTAATCTCTTGCCTTTTGATAGTTTATCTTGGCTCAGTTTACTACCATTTACTAATGGGGCTATGGTTATAGAAAATTAATCTAAATAGATTTACATAAGTGAAAGTATACTTAATATCTTAAATAGTTTCTTTTTTGCTCTTTCAGATATTTACTATATTGTGATTAATTACTTGTGATTATGGATAATATAGCTCAGATGTTTTAGCTTTGCTTTATAAACCAGATTTTTGTCTCTGATTTTCGTTACCTTTGCATCTTGTTTCCAAGATCTCTTGGTTGCTAATCGCAGAGTAGTCTATCATTTGAAAACAGGAAACAGAGAGGTTCAACTAAGTTACAAGTTTAGGGACGCTGTTTTTAGTGAAGGTGATGGTGAAAATTTAACTACTATCACAATGTAGTCATTTTTTGCTCAGAGTAAAACCCAAGTTGTCTGGTTTCTAAATCCACCCACTTATGTAACTTTTTCTTTAATGTCAGTGAGCCGTCTAACTTTCTAATATCTGTAAATATAAAAGTATGTTGGCTGTAGTTTTATAGAAAAAGATCAGTAACTTCACGTGTAAGAATATCCAGCTGAGTTCCTCTTATCTTCAAAGTTTCTTAGTTGGTTTCTAAGAACCAATACAGGTAGATAATTTCAGAAATGATTCCATAAAGATCGTCATGACCTTTCATTTAGATTCTTTGATTTGGGCCTAAGGGAAGGCTGGAAATCACCATAATTGTGAAATTGTACAAGGTGTGTCTTTGTTAGACTTTCAGAGAGAAAATACATAAAGAAACCAACATTCTAGTGGAAAGCTATAGTTTTTACTCCACTTTCCCAAATCTTTTTTTCTCTGTTTTTGAATCCTTCTAAGAAGGGAATGTTGTCTTTAGAAAGCCAAAGCATTATCCTGTAATCAGTCAGTTTATAGTCCTATTGTCAGCAGAGGGCTCAAATGTGTGATTGGAATGTCAAATGTAAACTGCCTGCTCTTAAGCCAAATGCCTGATCATATTTCTGCGAGAGAAGACGGACTGTGCATAACTTATGTGAGCCTTAGAAAAAGTTCTTAACCTCAGTTTTAACTCAACAGAGTGCAGTTAGATTTAGAAGTTATATCTGAATGATGGCAGTAAACATTTTAGCTTACACTCATGAACGCTGGAATAGCGACTCTCATGAGGCTTACACAAGAGTCATTCGCGCGTTCAACATCCCGACGTAGGGGTTGGCGCATATGTTAGTAAACAAAGCAGACAGAAGTCTTTCCTTCATGGAGTTTGTACATTATTGAGGGAAGGGGTGGGTAGGCAAGAAGTAAAACAAGTAAATGACACCGGTAGTGTACTAGGTAGTGGTAAGTGCTAAAGGGGAAAAAATGAGAGAGAAAGTGGAGAAAGTATGTGTATGTGAAGGGTCTACTGAAGTTTTAAATGGATGGGCAGGAAAGGTCTCACAGAGCAGATTCCTGAGCAAAGACCTGGAGGAGGGGAGGGGTTAGCCATGCTGCCATCTGGGGAAGAGCGTTCCAGGCAGAGGGAACAGCGAGTGCAAAGGTCAGAGGCAGGATGTGTGGCTCGCTCAGCATTACCCTCGCATTAGAAGCACAGGTCTCCCCACTCCTGCTAGTCTACTGCTATTTCTCATCACACAGAAAGTTTATTTCTCGTGTAATAAGTGCTTTCTATTGTTGAATCAATTGAATCTTTTAAGCTTCTGCCTCATGCTGTTTTGTGGCTTCAGCCGTAGAGAAAATCTGGCTCCTGATGCATAAGCCACAAGGTAAAGCCAGTGTGTTCAATGACCCAAGAATCCTACAGCTCAAAGGCACAGGGAGGAGTTTCCTTTCAGCCACAGCACAGTGATCAGATTTGATTCAGTGAGGCCAGCTCACCATTATTCCTCTTTATGGGGTCCCCTGATGTCAACGTGCCTTATAGACTTTCCACCCCCATATTTCAACTTCACTGATTTTTTTTTTTTCTCTTCTAAAATTCTATGTGAAGCCCATCCCATAAACACCAAGCCTTCTAACAAGTTTTAAACATTTTATTTTAATATGTTTTTATTAATTTCAGAGAGAGGAAGGGAGAGGGAGGGAGAGAGAGAAACATCAGTGATGAGAGTCATCGATCAGCTGCCTCCTGCACGCCCCCTGTTGGGGATAGAGCCCGAAGCCTGGGCATGTGCCCTGACCGGGAATCGAACTGTGACCTCCTGGTTCGTAGGTTGATGCTCAACCACTGAGCCACGCCAGCCGGGCCTAGCAAGCTTTAAGTGAGCCCTAGTACAGTAACACGTAACAACTTTTTGTATGATACTAATGCCCAGTCTGTGTGTATATCTCACACTAAGCATAGTCATTGTTTTCCCTGGAGCGGGTTAGAGAGAGACTGCCGCAGTTGTTAAACACAGGCTCTGGAGCCGGACGAGCTGGCTTTAAAGCTGGCTCTGCCACTCGCTAACTGTATGACATTGAGGAGCTGACCAACTTCTCCGTACCTGAGTTTCTTTATCTTCTTTCTAAATGGACATCATAATAACATTTCAAAATGTTATTGCGGCTCTCTGTCTGCCTGACTGTTTTATAAGTTGCATTCACACTCCTGGTAAGCGGCCGTCCCAGTTGGCTTTGAACTGTGGTATAAGTGTCCTCTCCTGGCCGAAATTGCCATCTGAGCTGAAGAAGCAGCAGATCTACAATCCTAGGGGTCACCCCTGGCATTGCACATGTACACCATGTGGCAAGCAAACAAACCTTGGGAATCCTGCTGTCCAAAATTCTCTGCTGATCTTCCTGAGGATGTGTACTCTATTTGAAAGCATCTTGAGACAAACAAATAATAAGGATTCTATATTCTGTCTGATTCTTACTGAGGGCCAATCAAATCAATGGGCTCTATTATTATCAGAATAAGTGATTTCTCCCAGTTGGAAATACAAGTCACTCTCATCCTCTGCCTGGTTGCAAAATTTGACACTCTATGTACTAAGAGAATGAAGTAATTATTTAACTTTAAAATAAGGGCTAAGTTCATACCCTGTAAAGAACTTAGAAGAATGCCTGAAGAATGATGTGTGCTCAGTCAATGCTAGATATCGCCAGTAACAAGAATGGCAGTAGCAGCATGACTGTCGCTAGAGGAAGTCCTCAGCTGGTCCTTGAGCAGAAGATGGTGTTTGAAAGGCACTGCAGGAGTAGGCAGGAGACGGGGAGGACTGGAGTACATGGCTGAGTAGCAGCTGCTCTGCAGCCCAAGACCTTCAGGTGATGGGTTTGGAAAGCTGTAGTGTACTCACAGAGCACAGCTAAGATATTATTCTTCCTGCCCCCAGACTCTAGCCCAGAGAGCAGAAAGACATTTGGGGTTGGTGAGATATTCCAGTGTTTTTTTTTGTTTGGTTGGTTTAAAGCAAAGATCCTCAACTTTGGCTGCACATTGGAATCACAGGGGAGCTTTCAAAAATCCCAGTGCAAGGTCCCTGCCCAGAAATTCTGTGCCAGTATTCTGGGTGTGGCCTGGGGCTTAGGAACACTTCTCTGGTGATTCCAATGTTCCGCGCAGGTCAAGCACCACTGTTAGGGGTCTCCCATTAAGGGCCAGCCCTTCTATATCCCAGTCTCTCCCTTTTCCTGCTGCTCCCCAGCCTGGATGGTGGCCAAGGTTCTAGGCAAGCCCTTCACTTTTTCAATGATCCTTTTATTTCATGTGGGAGACAAAACAAGAATGTGTTTGTGTGTTTGACTTATTTATTTGTAGTAGATATTCCTAGATCATACGTACTTCTCAGAAAAGGAGTTGGGAACGGTGATTACTCGTCTTGGGGACACTGCTCCGACCATACTAAATGAAGGGCTACCCCCCACCCCCACCGCTGCAGCATCCTCCCTCTCCCACTGGTTCAGGGAACAGAAGAGCAAGATGCATGTGGTGTTCACTGTGGTCCCTGGGCAGCCACAGGGTGCAAGGCCATGTGTCTCTCAGCTTCCTCGAAGCGGTGCTATTGCAATTCTGCATCAGTTACTCGCTAGTTCTGTAACCTTGATAATATTTTAATGAAACCTCAGCCACACTTTTATTTGTCTCCATGGCTGCTAATTTTCTTGTGCTGTAAATCACAGAGGAAAAAAAGGTCAACAGGCAGAAATATCATTCCTTCAGCATCAACTCCCAGTGTTTAGAGGCTGCGAATTACGGCCTTTGCATTAAGCAGTCACTGTCTCACCAGCACCAGGTGGCCCGGCTCTGCGTTCTCCACCTTGCTGTGCTGACACCGAAAGTGCCTGGGGTAACGGCCACAGTTCATCTCCCTGTCTCCAGCTGCATGTGCCCTGATCCAGGGAGGCAGACGGATGTGTGTTCAGGGCATCCTGTGTGACCTGGGCACACCAGGTGCTCTTTCGCGCTTTCTCTTTGTCTTCCTAACAAGCCTGCTCCCTGCCAGGCTCTGGGGCATTTGACCAAATGGATTGGGAGTTTGCTCCCTGCACTTCTTTTCTTGGATTTCCTTCTGACCTTAAGTGAAACCTAGTATTTTCCACAGAGGGACAGTGCCCATTATATCTCACAGGTGTCGTATAGGAATAATGCTTGTTTAAAATGTGAGCCTACTCATGATTAACTTGACTCGAGAATGTGTCTTTATTTGGAACAGAATAAAAGGGATGACTGCAGCACTGTATGGTGAAATAGACACAATGTGGTGTTGGAAGTCTTGGGTTCAAGTCCAATTCAGCCACTTCATAAGCATGTGTGTTTGGACAAGTCGCTGAATCTTTCTGCCTCTGTATCATTATGAGTAAAGTTGGTCTAACCCTAGTTGGCAGCTCAGATGAACTAGTGTTAGACGGGAGAGTGCTTTGGGAGCCTTAGCACAGTATAGTTGCCTTGTCTATGTTTCCCTGGGCTCATTTCTCCATGTTCTTATGGATACTGGTTCTCCTTGATATTGTTTTCCTCACGGTTTTGCTCATGTGGGAATGCTCTCACCCTACTCTTTGCCAGATTATCAACTCTTATTCATTGTAGTAGGTTGATTTGTTGCCACCAAAAGATTTGTCCAAGCCCTACCCGCTTGTGCCTGTATACGTGACCTTATTTGGAAAAAGGGTCTTTACACTTAATTAAGGATCTTGGACTGACTGGGTGGGTCTTAAAAATCCAATATCAAGTGTCCTCATAAGAAGAGGAGAAGACATAGACAGGAAGGGGGACACACAGGAGAAGACCATGTGAAGACAGGGGCAGAGACAGGAGTTATTTACCACAAGCCAAGAAATGCTTGGAGCCACCATAAACTGAAGGAAGCGAGGAAGGATCTCTCCCTAGAGCCTTTGGGAGGGAGTGTAGCCCTGCCAATATCTTGGTTTTATACTTTTGGCCTTTAGAACTGTAAGAGAATAAATTTCTGTTGTTTTGAACAACCAGGTTTGTGGTAGTTTGTTACAACAGCCATCGGAAACTAATACACTCATCTTTTATGGCTTGGCTCTGGTGTCCTCTGCTCCTGGAAGTCTCTCCTACATTTTCAAGTCTCTGACACTTTCTTTCTCTGTGTACCCATGATATCCCTTACCCCTGTCACTCTACTTGCACCTGCTTCTAAATTATCCATCAATGAGGCTGTCTCTCTCCATGACACCGAGGATTGGTGGGGTTGTGCCTTATTAATGTTCCTCCCCCGGCATATAGCAGCTTGACAGGTTTTTGTTTTATGCAAAATGAATTTTGCTCTCCCACTCTCTCTTACCTTTATTCGGTCCCCCCACCAGCACATTGGCCGAGGTTCTTAATGCTTGTAGGGGGACCAATGTGTTTGGCTTTTCATCTGCAGGTAACTTTCCTCTCTCTGCACACACTGCCCATGAATAATATTTCTAAAATACTATTCAGGTAATGCTTGTAGGGGGACCAATGTGTTTGGCTTTTCATCTGCAGGTAACTTTCCTCTCTCTGCACATACTGCCCATGAATAATATTTCTAAAATACTATTCAGGTAATGCTTGTAGGGGGACCAATGTGTTTGGCTTTTCATCTGCAGGTAACTTTCCTCTCTCTGCACATACTGCCCATGAATAATATTTCTAAAATACTATTCAGGTAATGCTTGTAGGGGGACCAATGTGTTTGGCTTTTCATCTGCAGGTAACTTTCCTCTCTCTGCACATACTGCCCATGAATAATATTTCTAAAATACTATTCAGGTAATGCTTGTAGGGGGACCAATGTGTTTGGCTTTTCATCTGCAGGTAACTTTCCTCTCTCTGCACATACTGCCCATGAATAATATTTCTAAAATACTATTCAGGCACTTATCTACCCAGAGACTCTCAGTGCCTCCACTACCTGGTCCCAAAGCGTGTTGCCAGCTTTATCTGTCGCTACCCTCCTTATGAATTTCTGCTTTAGGAAAACTAATCTATTCGTGTGTTTATAGAACAGCTTTACTAATGTAGAACCTTTGCTAGAACGTGGATGGCAGGAAAGCCCTTCTCTTCCTCACTGTTGAAATCTTAATTACCATGCAGAAATTTCCACGGCCTTCTTTTCCCCTCAGTGAAGAAAGTGGTATGTTTTAAATAGAATATTTTTGCTCAAAGTTTCCTATGTAGATATAGAAAACTTAATCTCCCCAAATTCTCCCTGGCCTTCCCTCTATTAAAAGCCTAAAGTAGGGCAGTGGGAAAGGTATAGGAGCCCCAAGTTGGAATTCTGCTTCAATTACTTGCTAGCTCTGTAACCTTGAGCACCTTATTTAATTTCTCTAAGCATCAGATTCTGCACCTCTGGAGTGGAAATGACAAGACTTTATAAGGTTCTTAAGGATTGAATGCAGTCATAATAATTGTTATTTAATGGGATTGGTGTGTGGGGGTGGGGGGAGCACCAAAATGGTACAATGAGGTTAACTTACAGTTAATTGAGAGAAAATAAAATTATAGAAGCAATGTTGGCGTGGAGGAAGGTGTGTTCTAACTGATTCTGTGTTTCTGAAGGGAAATCATTTCCATTGCTTAATTCTTTGCAGAATAACGGGACCACTGAGCACCAGGTGGAGTCTTTCATAAGGAAAAAACTGGAGTCCCTGTTAAAAGAATCTCAAATTCGAGACAAAGAAGATCCTGATAGTTTCACAGTGAGGGCACTCCTGAAGGCCACGCATGAAGGCTTAAACGCACACCTGAAGCAGGTATACGATTCCCTCTTGTCCCTGTCCTTTGACAGGGAACAGAAAGCATAGCATCTGTTTGGTTCTGGTCACTTGTCATTTGTGGCATGCTTCTCCAGTTTCCTCCATTTCTACCTTCCTGTCGCCTGAGAAATGAAAATCTCCTATTGCAAATGTGAAAAATAGTTAGAAGGTGGATGGGCGGGAGTGAGAATAACAGGAGGAAGCCGTGCCCTGGCCTGGTCTTCCTCATGCCCGCTGGGCGAGCCCGCTGCGCACCGCAGCCGCCCCCTCCGTGCCGGCCGGCCTCCGTGCCCTGTGGCCTGCACCTCCGGAGTGTGTCTCCCGTCTGCCACTTCTCTTCACGGTGGTGTCCCAGTCTAGGCCAGTGCCAGCTCTCACCTCGGCTTCCCTTGCCCTTCTTTACTCTAACCTGCACTCTGAAGTCAACGCGGTTCTTTAAAAATGCAAATCTGATCATGTTACCCTACTGTTCAAAATTCTTCGGTGGCTTCCCACTGCGCGTGGCATAAACGATGAACTCTTTGACCAGGCTTTTCAAGGACCTGTATGGTTGCATCCTTGCCTGCCTCTCCAGTCTCAGGTCTCCTAATTTTCCCTGTCACGCACTCCCCACAATTGTCACACCAGCCATAACTGTTTATATGCCACGGTCTTCCTCACATTCCGTTTCCTCTGCCTAGAACACTCCATTCCTACGTTTGTTCTAACTAGGTTCTACTTAGCCTTTTAAATTCTAGCTTCAATGTGATGTCTTAAATGAGGCCTGCCTTGACTGCTGGATTAGGTTAGCTCTCCCCTTTATATTACTGTAGTGGCCTATTTTGTCTTCTCTTTTCTGAATTTTTAAAAAGTGCATTTGCAATTGCTTGTTCAATGTCTGCCCACCTAGGCCATAGATTCCATGAAGACAGGAACCATGCCATTCTTGATAACCATTATTGTGCCGGCTGGTCTAGTGCTTGGCACTTAGTAAGACTTTAATTAAATAGAGCATAATAATTGGGGCGTAGTAGGTGCCTACTAGATGGACGACCATGTACCTCAACGTCTGTGGGACAGCCCTGTTTTTAGACCTGTTGTCCTAGTGTAATTATTAAAAGTACCCCATTTCACTCTCAAATGGGTCATGTTTTGGACAATAAATGACATGACCCCCACTACCAATAGATGGGCTAATAGTAGAAAGGAACTCAGAAGTTAATTGGTTCATTCCTTCACCATTTTATAGATAAGAAAACGGGTCAGGAGGAGGGGCTTGCCAGAGACATGTAGCTACTTGGTGACAAAACTGGGTCTCCAAACTTGGAGAGCAGTGTTGCTTCTATGACCACATCTGGCTACCTTCTTAATTTCAGGGTTTTTGAATAGTTAATGGACATATTTCATCTTCAAAGGCAGTCGATGTATATAAACAGTCAACTAAAATTACCCTGTAACCCCCACCCCTCTAGCATTTTCCGAACTGCTTCTTTCTCCAACTAATTCTCAGTCTTCCCCACTTGCTGCCCAAAGTGGCATCTCTGATTAGTCTCTATGGATATTTGTGGATGCCCTCTGTGGCCTTTTGATTTTAAGTAGTTTCACTTACCCACATTTATTCCATTTATGTGTTCTTTCTGTTTCTTCTCGGTTTAGCAGGCAGTCCGGGGAGAGCATGGCCTGCTGTGCTGGTCTCTGCTTAAACCACATCATTAGCAGGGAACCACCGAATACACATTTTTAGGGTAGATAACTGAATGAAAGGCTAAACCCTTTTAGCAGAGTGGCCTTTCTGTACCCTAATGAGAGAGGATTGAGCAAGGAGATTTCTAGCCTAGAAAGTTAACCCACATGAGGAAAATTCAGAGGCTCCCTACATCTTTCCAGCACTCACCACAGAGGGAATTATTTCAATGAACAGATAAGCTTTGGTTTGGTTTACTGAAACAAAAACAATCTTATTACCTCATATATATGCTTGGATTGTATTTCTATATATGTTTTAAAATTCCAAATAATAGTATTTGATCAATGTGATTTTTTTTTTTTAATTCAGTAGAATTGACTCTTAATGATTTTTTGCCATTTTTCAAAATTAAATCTACTTTTAACTGAAGATTATTTTATTCCAACTCATAGCATTGAAAAGACTACACCCTGCTCTATGGAGAGCCTTGTGAGCAGGTACTGGACAGGCCGCTGAGAGGCCCGTGACCCCAGCTTTGGGCAGCTGTTGGCAATTCCTGTTTCCTGGCTGGTGCCCGGGCCTCTCCATGCCAGTGTCCCCCTCTTGGGCAGACTCAGCCATCTTTGGGGCAGTGCAGGGTAGAGCAGGAGGGAGTGAGCAGGACCTCTTGCTTCCCACCTAGAGGCAGACACACAGAGAGGGTTTGCCTGCCATTTCATCAGAACTAAGGAAAAAAATAAAAGTAAAGATGAAAAGTAGTTATATTATGCTTATTTTCTCAGCATCCAGATGTGAAGGAGAGTGGAAAGAAATCTCATGGTCGATCCCTCGTGACCAACTTTGGAAAACACAAGGTACGAATTAAGATTGATAAATGTGTGTCCTTCAGTTAAGTTAAATTAAGTCTGGAAGGTAATGGGAGAATATCATCATGACCTTGGGATAACTGAAGACTGCTTAAATAGGACCCCAGAGGAGGAAAAGGTTGATAATTAAATTACTTTGAAATTTAGGAATTGCTATTCATCAAAAGTAACAAAAAACAAGTAGCAGACTGGGAAAAAAATTTTCAATACATACATCCAGCAAAGGTCTTGTATCCTGACAATATAAAGAATTCCTACACATCAATTAAAAAGACAGGTACCCTAAATTTTTTAAAAATTGGGCAAAAGGACTTAAATGACACTTCACAAAACACAGCAAGGTGGCTAATCTGGAAAGGTGCTCACCCTTATCAGTCCTCTGGGAAATGCAAATTCAAATGACACTGAGATTGCTTTCACACCCACCACAATAGCAAACATGAAAAGACTCACAATACCCATCGAGAGCGAGAGCGAGAGCGAGGATGCTGAGTAAGTTAAATCCCTTTACACTGCTTGCTAATGGGAATGCGAGTTTGTAATAGTACAAATAGGAAGTAGTTTAAATGTCCATCAATAATAGAATGAATAAAAATTACAGTATCTTCACAAAAGGGAATATTTGTCAGCAATGAGACGACAACATTGCAACTATGTACAATAATATGCTCTTTATAAACATGGCACTGAGCAAAAGAAGCTAGGCCCAAGAGAGTACACACAGTTTGATTCCATTTATTTGAAGTTTAAAAACAGGCAACACAAAGTCTATAGGGTAAAATTCAGCCTAGTAGTTACCTTTGGGGAAAAGGTGATGACTGAGTGGAAGAATCAGAAGGCTTTGGGGGGTAGATAATGTTCCACTTCCTCATCTGGTGGGTTCATTTTGTGTAAAGTCATTATAATCATCCTACTCTCCTAAATGTGTGTTACTCCTCAATAAAGAGGAACCAATTATCGGATGGTGAACTTTGTGCATGAGGTTTCTGTAAGGCCATTTCTTGTGTTTTAAGGAATATTGTATCTGGAATTTCCTGCCCCATCAATAGGATAATTTATTAAAAGGCTCAAAAAATAGTCTTTATAACAAAAAACTGAAAACCACTAAAATGTTCACCCATAAAGACTGCTTAAGTGAACCATGATTCATTCACGTAATGGATAATTCTGCAGCCACTAAAAGATGATCACTCTAAAGAGCTCATCATGCAAAACATTAAGTAAAAAAGTCAGATGAAAAAATGGATTATATGGTACATTAGGCATGATAAAATGTGTCAAAACTGTATGTAAAGAAAATATATCATCATTTTTTTCCAAATATCTGTCATTGGTGATTCATTTCTTATTTCTTTTTGCATTTTATGTTAAAAAATGAACTTTAAAAAGACAGAATTATTGTAACATCTCAAATTACTAATTATATGTAGAGAATTTGTTTTTCTTGATTACGACTACTGATTTAAATTTAAATTATTTTCCAAAGTTAACTTTTAGGCTGTACTTTAGCCACCATAGAACTAGAACTTATTATGCCTCACGTCATAAAAATGAATGCCCACAAAACTACTTATAGATTATATTAATAAGTATTAATAGTACTTTAAATTGAAAGTTAATATTATGTGGCTTATAGAATGACTCCCCATGCCATCTTATTTAATCACATCCACAATAATAATCCTTTAAAACAGATGCTGTTGTCTTGCCCTTTAAGAAACACAATAATAGGAAGCTGGAGCGGTTAGCCAGCGTACCAGCCTGGCAGCCAAGCTGGCGCATGAGGTCATCAGAGGCTAGGGTTCCCACACCGTGCGCACCGAGGCTTGTGAGTCATAAGTAACACCTGAGAAGGTTCTAGACTCAATTGGTGCCTCGCCGTGAGTGAAATGGAGTGTGCATGTGCCAACGGTATAGCTGCCTTTTTTTTTGTTGAGTATGAGACAACCTGAAAGGTGACATGGTCTAATGGTAATGTGAGGATGGACTCCCTTTCGTGTTTTTTTTTTTTTTAATATGTCTTTATTGATTTCAGAGAGAAGAAGGGAGAGGGAGAGGGAGAGACAGAAACATCAATGATGAGAATCATTGATCGGCTGCCTCCTGCACGCCCCTGACTGGGGATCGAGCCCACAACCTGGGCCTGTCCCCCGACCGGGAATCGAACCGCGATCTCCTGGATCCTAGGTCGACGCTCAACAGCTGAGCCACGCCCGGCTGGGCTCCCTTTCCTTTTATAAGCTACATTCCCCGGATGTCCAGGGGACTCTGACTAAAGAGATCACCCTTGTTTGTGGAAGTTGCAGTTTCCCCCCCATTATTTGTATTGTTAAGGTGTATGTTGCCAAATATTGGGGTTATCTTCAGTGTGGTGGGAGTGAAACCTCAGCATTCCAAAAGGTTTCATGTCTAACAGCTAATCTGTCCAGAAGACACCAGATTAGTCCTGCAGCCTTTCAGCCTGAATCCTGTAGGTAGCAATTTCATTCTGCTGCTAGAAATTAAAATGGGTCTAAACCTCAAGAGAGCAGTTTCATATAGACGGCTATTTGAGTGCATACTGATTAAAAGCAGGCATGGTAGTTAATCATTTAAAAAAATTACTACTAGTTCTTTTTTTTTTTTTTTAAATCAAATCTGCCTTTTATAAGTCAATAGGAATAGCGAGCTTCCTATAAAGAGGGCATGTTATTCCTTATTGTTATTTCAATAGATGCTACGACTTGGACCCTACTCCTCGTAGAGACTTCCAATCATGACTAATAAGGTGTTTCTAAGGCCTACATTTTATGCAGCTGAAAAGTCAGTTTTAGAGCATGAAATCCTGTTTTGCCTTAATATTATAATTATGGCCATAGCCATGCTTGCTATTAATGGTGAGGCAAGCTGCAATATCAGGTCACTGATTTTCCCTCTGAGTTATCCATGTGTGTGTGCGTGTGTGTGTGTTTTAAGCCCAGTCCATTCTCTGTATGTTGTAGATGTACCTCATGCAGTGAGTTTGTTGTTAAGTTTACTGTAATTTTTCCAGCAGAAAACCACCAAATCACAGCCTAAATCTTACAGCACCGACGACGAAGAGGACCCACAGCAGGCTCCTGGCAAGGAGATCGGCCAGTTGTGCAGGTCAGAGGGTGTTTCCATGTTCCTTGCCAGACTCTCTGGGCCTCTCCATCCCCGTCAGCTTGGCTGCCTTAGTTGTACATTTCCAGAGAATTCCATCTCAAGGGAAAGTGCTGAGTGTAGCGGGGCCTATGCAGATCCGCTGGATATGAGATGAGAATACAGGCAGGGGCCTTATCCTGTGCCTGGCACACAGTGAGCTCCTAGTAAATGTAGCTGTAGCAGTGATCAGGTAAAAGGCATCTTCAGAGGAGAGGGAGAGTGGACGCATGGACCAGTACAGAGGAGACCACAGGAGAAGATAGATGAGAAGCACGTGTTAAGAGACAGGGATCTGAAACCAGCCAGACTTCAAACCCTCGTTCCTCCAAGCTTAATATGGGCCAAGTCAGGCTCCTCATTTGTATCTGTTTCTTAGGGTCACTGTAAGGATTAAATGAATTAAACTACTTAGCTTGATAAGCCCTCCCCCAGTTAATTAACAGCTCAAAAATATTAGCTGCTGTTTTCTTTATTATTGTCCGTAGAATTTGGGGTGAGTAAAATGACAATATATGTAGAACCCAAATTGTGACACATGATCTGATGTAGGATCTTCGGGCAGTTTATGTATACAGTCAGTCTCACAAAGAAATGTAAATTATATCATAGGTACATAGACAAACATATGCATGTGCAAAAGTGTGTGTGCATGTCTGCGCGGCCACACACATTCACACTCTCCCCCCACCCATATTCCTGTGTCTTTATTGAAAGGCTGAAATTAAATAAAATTAGAAGCATAGAGGTCTTGTAGGAATGGATGGCATGTAGTGTTCAACTAAATTTTATATTTGAGCTTCACTTGAACAGAATGTCCATACATAAACTAGTAACTGATTAGTAAGGGCAGAGGGAATGTGCGCAGTCCCTACCCTTAGGGTACAGGAAATTTAATTTGTGGTTACAGTGGAGATGTAGGAGAAATGAGATCATCTTCCAGGAGATCTCCTGCTGCATATTTCAAATGTAGGTGAGGAAGGCTCACCTGAGTCACACAGTCAGGGAATGGGCAGGGTTTGAGGCAAGCCATGATCATCTTTTTTTTTAATTTGTTTTATTGGTTCATGCTTTCAGTTCTTATTCAGTCCATGGTGATCTTAATGTGTACAAACAAGACACTACTACAGGTATCACATGAGATCACATTCCTTGTCGCTCTTGAATTAGAGCTTTGTCCATAATAGGTATCGAAGCCTAAGCATCTGTATGGGTTCCTTTTGGGGCTTCTATAAACTAATACACTCCCAGGATAACCGCTAACTCCATGTAGACTTTCTCTGTACCACAGAGTGTCTTGGAGTTTTACTTGTAATTTCTGGGCATGACCTCACATTGACTTAGAATCATTAGCTTTCATAATACCAGATTTTCACCAATGATGTTAGAATTTCCTAATTATGGTAAAGGAACAACATGAACTGTCCCCATTTACTTGTATACCTAAGTTTATGATGTCTTTCTTGGCAAAATGTACTGTTGGTGCATTTTGGCCTTAATTCTTTTATTGAATGTATGTAAGTACCATTAGAGTAATGATTTTTGTTTGGTTCATTTACTACTTTGTCTCTAATAGGTGCTCAATAAATATGCATGGAGTCATTAAATTTATACCATTACCATCTAATTCTAGAACATTTTATCATATCAAAAGAAACTACCATTAGCAGCCATTCCCCATCTCTCTCTCCCCCAGTCTCTAGCACCAACTAATCTACTTTCTGTCTATAGATTTGCCTTTTCAGGACATTACATATTAATGGAATCGTATAATATTTGGTCTTTTGTGTGTGGCTCTTTTCATTTAATATGTTTTCAAGATTCATCCATGTACTTCATTGTTTGTTACTGTTGAACAATATTCTATTATATGAATACACTGCATTTTATTTACCCACCGTTAGTCGAAGGGCATTTAGGTGGTTTTCACTCTTTGGCTCTTATGAATAATGCTGTTATGAACATTCACGTGTAAGTTTTTATGTGGCCATATGTTGGGCATACACTTAGGTGGACTTGCTGAGTCGTGGTAACGCTGTTGAACTTACTGAAGAGCTGGAGCACTATCTTGGCACAACACTTGAACTGTTTCATATTCCCCAGCAGAGCTGCGGTTCCACTTTCTCATCCTTGCCAACACATGTTCTTGCATGCCTTGTTGGTGATGGCCATCCTAGGTGTGAAGCCGTTTCTCGTTGTAGCTCTGATTTGCAGTTTCCTAATGACTAGTGATGTTGAGCATCTTTTCATGTTCTTGTGGGCCACGTGTTTCTTCGTTGGCGAGCATTAGAGTTTTTGTCAGATGTTACCCTGGAGGAGAAAGCGCATATGTGAGGAGAGTGTGGAGCACTGTGCTGTGGGAAAGAGTGGTATAGAATTTGTGAAGTTGTGGAGGAGAGCCTAGGGGTGGTTATGGGAGAGAACAAAGTAATAGATGTTTGCTTTAAGAAAGATGAAGTATTTAGAAAAAGCATAAAGAAGAAAATAAAATCACTTGTCATTGCACTTCTAAAAGATAATCACTATGGAAGTTTTGGTGTATTTCCCTTTAGATTTCCTATAACTCTTGTGGCCCACAATGCAGTGTTTCCGTTCTTCAGTTCAGGTTCTCCTTCTGCCAAACCAGGGTAGACTCCTGGTGAACTCCAGTGTTAACCCCTGGCTGGGTAACCGTGGGATCCAGCCCTTCACAGTAGACCTCCCAAATACTTGAGAAGAGACTGGTTTGAATGAGCTCTGGATACAAGCACATAAGTAGGGTTTTGTAGTGGAAAGAGTGCTGAACTAGGAAACAAGTTTGGGTTCTAATCCTGAATCCATTAGGAGCAGGTAGGAAACTCAGAGTAAACAAAGGTCCAAACTTCTTCCAGGTCTAAAATGTCATGAGTCCCTGGGTGTGTATTTCGCAGGTTGGGTCGCCGGAGGAAAACCATGAAGCTCTGCCGAGAGCTCTCTGACTTGGTGGTGTACACAAACTCCGTGGCAGCCCAGGACATCGTGGACGATGGTAAGGACCGAGTGTTTTTCTCTCTTGGATGAATATTCTTGGCTTTTCTTTGTCAATAGTTAATGAATCTTTTGCTAATCAGATCATCACACATTTCTGAAACTGGGTACAATCCAACTTGAGTTGTCAGGAAATCGACTGCCAGGACAAAGCTTTGAGCTCACAGCGAGGGCTCTGTTGATTACTGTGGTTGCCTGATTGTCTGGAGGTCAGAGAAATTTCCTACAGGGCAGAGGAGAACTGTCTTATAAAAAAGACAAATGTATCAGAGCAAGGTCTGTGGAGACCTGACCTGGTCTGATGGCCATTCCCAGTGTGAATGACCAGAATAAAGAAGAAATTAATTGGCCTATATAACACCTTGAAAAGCCTTGTATTTTCTCATTGGAAAATTTGACTTGGATGAAAAGAATTTAATGCAAAGGTTGAGATTTTAGTAAAAAAAAACCACAAATTTCAGAAGTACTGACTTTCACTGATTTTTCTTATATTAATTGCCATATATTGAGTTGAGAAATTCTAGACACAACTGCCCTTACCTTGGAAGTTCCTGCTAGTTATACTTTTCCCCTTTATTTGCTGCCCTTCTCATTTCTATTTTGTTCAGTTAATGAATGTTTATAGACCTAAACCACAGTCATGTGGCTTTTCAGTCTACTTTCAATGAGTAGAAGTTAAATGTCCATCAGAATCTCCCATTTTCTCAACATTGTGGTGAGTGGTGAGTCTTATGTCCCCACAAACCCCCAGGATTTTTCCTCAGATTTCTTTTCCCCCCTAACTCCACAAGTATATCTTTTTTGATATGCAGATTTTCTTCCCTTTGGTATTGATTTCTTCTTCAAATGGTGACAGTTATAAAAAATTTAAATTAGTTTTACATGTAAGAGCATGATAAACTGTAGGATCCTCAGCACGTGAACAACACATTCTTGTAATAACTGCCCACAGCTAGCCAATAAACTCAGAGTGGTTTAATGGAGTTGAAGGTATATTTGGTTTAGAGAAATATAATGTCTAGCAAATGCCTTAGGGAATCATAATTATATTAGCTTAATGGAAAAATAATTTTGAGTACTATTTAGCTTTTGAATTTCAGCTGTTTTTGTCTTTTGTGGGTTTTCTAGTTAGTCTTAAATTGAACAATAGCTAATGAATGAACAGCTTATTCTAATGCAAACAACTCAACTCTATTGATATATGAACTGATATATGTATGCCTAATTATCAAGGTCATCTTAATGACAATGTGGTATGCATATTTATGTGGAGAGACAGCAAACAGTGGTACTGATTACGGTACTACATTATCTGCATGTGACTTGTCAAATGACTATATTTTTTCCTATCATGTTCAAAGTATTCATCAAAATCCTCAAATAAGTTTATTTTTAGAATACTTAAGATGTGAACTATGTTAACAAGTTAATGTCAATAAGATATGATAAGGCAAGAGTTCATATGAGGCGCATCATCAGATTAAAAACTAATTCTCTAATTTCTTTGCCTTCCACCTGTATTTATGACTATTCCAAGTTCCATCTCTAGAGTGTCATTGTTAGTCACTTGGCCAGCATTTACTGTCTAAGGGTGTACAACCCTGAGGACAATGGACACCCTGGGAGACTGTGTGCTCAAATTAACACACACAGTCTGGGTATCATTTGGATCAGTTGTTCCAAGTTAGACTATAGTTCTACCGCTTGGTTTCATGGGCCATGTCCCTCCGTCTGGGTTCAGACACACTCAGCTGTCACAGAACACAATCGAATGAAATTGAGACTCTGGGCAAGTTTGGATCTTTCTCCAGACTAATCTCTCCCAACAGGTCCAAGAGACATACGGGTGGTAGTTTTGGGTATGGGGTGTGGATGTCTGGTGAAGGGGTGGGAGTAGTGGGGGTAGTGTAGACATGGTGTGAAAGGTGGGATTGAGAAAAAGCATAGCATAGTAAATGTTTGGAGGTTTACTCCATCATGATCCCAAACTTGAGGTTTCCTTGGCCCTTGACTGACCCCACCTGATGATTGTCAAGCAGAAATTTTACTATAAGCTTCCTGTTTGTTTACCTCCCTTTATTTTCCCATTACTTATAAACCTGGGTAGGTAGATGATTGTTCTTGTTTCTGAAACTTTATTTCTTTAGAACGCTCTCTTGAACTCTTTCTCCATTATATTTTTACCTCCCAAGCAGGTTTTGACTAGTTCCAAAATTCTATTCAGATTAACTTGGAAACTCAAATTTTCTTTTTTGGAATTGTGTGTTTTTTCTTCGTTTCTGATTGCTATTAGTTAATATGTGTTTCACGTGTGTACTATTTAGATGAATGTCTTCAATGAATGTCTCTCTGTTATCAGGACTAAGTTACATAGTTTTATTTATCCGTGACTGTCTATGTCTTTGGCAAAGACATTCTGTTTGAATTGTGCACCTAAAATTTTTTTCCTGCCCACTCATTCAGACTAGCCAGATAGACATGAGTTAGTGACATGGTTAAACTCTTGGGAGAACATGGGACCTCAAAATAGGCAGTTATCTTAGCAAAGCACATATTTGGCCTCAAAATGGCAAAAAAGTCCCAGGTTAGAATTACATGGATCTTTCTTGGTCAGGAGCTGCCCCTGCCCTTTTACTGTGGGTATTTCCTGATATGTTATAAGGTCTTTCCTGAGGAGGGTTTTTTTCTGTAGTTCTCACTTTTCTTTTTTCTTTCTTAAAAACTGCCAGGAACCACAGGAAATGTGTTATCATTCAGTGAAACGAGGGCACATCAGGTGGTTCAGCAGAAATCAGAGCAGTTCATGATCTATAACCAGAAGCAGCTCACGAGGATCTACCCCTCGGCCTACCGCATTGACTCCAGCAACTTCAACCCCCTGCCCTACTGGAACGCGGGCTGCCAGCTAGGTGCGTGTGCCGGCGTGCGCGAGGCTCTGTGCCCGCAGCCTGTGCTGGCCTTTTGCCTAATTCTCTCAAACTTTGAACTTGCGCAGTGGCTCTGAACTACCAGTCCGAAGGGCGAATCATGCAGCTAAATCGAGCCAAATTCAAGACGAATGGCAACTGTGGCTATGTCCTCAAACCCCAGCAAATGTGCAAAGGTAGGTGTTAATTCCATAGCCGTGTCCTGAACGCAGGTGAGCTCTATGGAAGGAGCGCTCTAGAACGTGTGATACCCCAGTGCTTTGCAACATGATTACAAAAAAGAGGTAGGTTAAGGGGTTGGAGTGTAAACTGAAACTCTGGTCGCGCCACCATGTTTAGAATGTTCTCTCCTGGGGTTACGCATGGTACGGGGACAGGGGTAGCGATGGATTGTCCTCTGAAATCCAGTGCCCAGCATGATAGTCACTGACCTGACTTACCAGCTGGACTCTCTTCTGAGGTCTGAGCCCTTTCAGAAACTTCCCTAGGGAGAATGAGTTGGAAACATGGTGGCAAAATTAAAATACCACCTGGAACAATTTTATCAAGCCCTTTAGTCAGTATGGTCCAATTACGAAGCAGTGCTAACAAAGAAGAAAAGATAATGTAGTGTTGGATCAAAAAACATGGTGTGTTGTGTTTTTTTTTGGTTCTGCCTATTAACAGTCTCCAAATTGGATTTTTAACAATTCAGATAAAAATATGTGGCCAGGTATGTCTTCAGGATTCTTTGCTTTGCGTGTTCTGCGCTGCTATCGGTTTAGTTTCAGATCTTCTTTCTGCCTGTTATATTCACTCTGTGGCCGAGATAGTTTAGGTTAGGAAAATATTTAAATCTGACACAACTGCTCCCTTCTCTATACTACTGGCGTTCGAATAAAATGTGCCTCTTCCCCCCTTGCCACGGTTGATAATTGCCTCGCAGACACTTGCTTTACATTGGCCCATTCGTCCGCCTTTGGGAGCATGGATTCTAACAAAACCCACAGCTAGGGAAATGCCAGCTGGCACTGCCTCATGCAGAAGCTGCACCCATAGTTATGTGATCCTTTCTCCGCTCTAGGACACACTGTAGTAACTCAGCGTTTGTTATTTCTTTGTCCTACCAGCTTTAGCTGTGAGTGAACGTGTGTGTGTGTTTCCATGCTACTAACCTTAGAGTTCAACATCTGCTTACTTAGGTACTTTCAACCCTTTCTCGGGTGATCCACTTCCTGCCAACCCCAAAAAGCAGCTCATCCTGAAAGTGATCAGTGGACAACAACTCCCCAAACCTCCTGACTCCATGTTTGGAGACCGAGGAGAGGTAAGCCGTGCATGACCCAGTGGTTAATTATATGATTGATGGATTGTGCTCGCACTTCCTCCAAAACGTCAGGGGTGTGTGTGTTCATAAATGAGCACTGATCTCAGCTCACCAGACATTAACCAGCATATGGGCGAAGCACACAGTCCTTGGAGGCATGAGTTCACACAATTCAATTCATTATTCAAGACTGACACTGGCAACGCTAACGTTGGGGTGCAAAGAACAACTTTATTATTAATGGAAACATTGCGTAAGGATATGTCTTAACTTCCCAACCACACTCCTCATCCCCTCCCCTCTGCTGCCATCAGCCACCTGCGCCGGCCACATGCTGACTCTTGTCATGACTTGCTGCACCCGTGTAGCATGGTTTTAAAATGTCTCCACTCTGTCCTCAGCGTCCTCTCTTTCCAGAGCTTCTATCCCATTGTCCCCATTACACCCGGTCTTGGCCTTCATGGCCTCCGTTTTCTCCCTGCCCGTCAGCCCATCCTATGCTCATGCCCTTCCTCTCGGGGGTCCATCACTTCAGGTTCTTTGCCTGTCCCACCTGTGAAACCATCCTCTCTGGATCTCGAATGACGGGGGAAACCACGCAGCTCTGCAGTTGGATGTTAACTATAAACTCTTTGTCTCCACATCTTCCAGATGTTTTTCATTATATAGCTACCTCTTTACCTTTGTAATTAATACATAGTCTGTGGAGTTAGAGTGATCTTTTAAATGTATAGGGACTGTCTGTCTTTGTAATGAAAACAAAAGAGTCTCCTTATCTTGGCTTACAAGGTTCTTTATCAGGATATTGTAACTTTTTTTGAGCCGTGGGACCCTTTGGTATCTGTTGAGGCCCTTCTCAGAATAATGTTTTTAAATGCATAAAATAAAAGAGGGCTACACAGGAAACCAATTACATTGAAATTCACATATCAAAATATTAAAAACAAATTGTGACATGCAGATACATGTGTCTATTAATGCAGTAAATAGCAGGTTCTATGGGTGGCCTAATCACTATTAGAATTTTAAGTTGTGATGCTTATAGATGATACATGGAGATTTCTGCCACAGCCATCATGTGACATGAGAACATCCATGATTTCTGTCAGGCACGAAATTGCAGTACTGATACTTCTGTGGTGTCCTTTACTCAGAGGGTAATGAAAAGAAAAATAGAGGTTTTTTCCTCCCCACCCAGGCTCCCATGATCTCTCACACTATTCATATTTCTGTGAATGGAATGTCAGTTTTTCTTGCTCCCCATCAGAAATTGTCATCTTTAATCTTCACCTTTTTTCTCTCTCTCTACATCTAGTAAATGACCACCTTCGTCTAGTAAATGACCATGTCCTGCCTCCCAAATCTCTCCGCAGCCCTTCCGATGCCGTTCTTCTGGGCTCTCCCGGGGCTTGCAGTGGGCTGAAGCAGACACTGCTCTCTCTGCTCACAGAGGAGGAAACTATCTTCTCTTTACTCTCCAAACTCCTGAAACTGTGTTTTCTGAGACTTCAGTCACTCTCTCCCCTCTCTGGGTTCTCTAGGGTTTTAGTCCTTTGTAGCTCATTGTCTGGAACCTGCGCCACAAAGGAGAGGTGACAGATGGGCACTGAGGCGGGAGGCCTTCCCTAGGGGAGGCGTGAGGTGCAGGAGGTCGGAGGAAGACTCAATGCTCATATTTTTTCTTTTGACTGCTTTTTAATCTTTTTAAGTATTTTAAAATTTATATTATAGTATCCACTGACTTAACGACATTAAAATTCACAAATCAAATGAGGATAGCTTGATTAACCACTATGCCACCCAGTTCAAAGACAGAACCCCCAAAAGCTTCTGTCTGTCGTCTCGGTCAACACTGCTCCCCCATCCAACACCAACCCCTATCGTAATAGACAAATTTTGTCTGTGCTCAAACTTTATGTAAATTGACTTTCACAGTATTGACTCTTTTATGTCTAGCTTGTTCAACATTATGTCTGTGTAGCAGAACTTTGTTCTTTTTCAGTGTTGTATAGTATTTATTTCACAATTTATCCAACCCACTCATAATAGACATACAGGTCATTTCCACTGCGTGACTATTATAAATACAGCTGCTCTGAGCATTCGTGCATGGACAGAAGCTCTCATTTCTGTTGGGTCATCAGGTGAAGTTTGTATAGCAATAGTAGACATTGGCCAACAAAAATTCAGTCTGTTCTTTTATTACTGTCTCATGTATCCAAATCTGTTGCACCTACTTCAGTTTCTCTTTCTTGTTAAGCCCCTAATAAAATAGGTTATTGTTGAAATGTAGACATTTTGGCCAGTATTCTCATATTAATTAACACATGTATAGAAATGTATCAGTTGTTATAATACACTCTCTTCATTTATATAGATCATTGATCCTTTTGTTGAAGTTGAAATTATTGGATTGCCAGTTGATTGTTGTAAAGATCAAACCCGTGTGGTGGATGACAATGGTAAGATGATGATCTGTGTTCACTTTCAACCAGAATGCTCTAGAAATAGAATTTGCACTGAGAAACAAAAATGTGTCTACATAGAGAAGAAATTTCTTAAGTTTGTAACTGCTGTCTCAGTTGATGTTAAGGTCTATTAGGCACATAAAACTAAGTAAATGTGGAATGTTTTGATGGACATTGTAATCTAGGCTCTCAAGACTTTTGCTTTTGAAGCAAACATTTTTTTCTAGTGCAAAAAATAAATGATATTTTAAAGGGTTGGCTTAAAATTCCACTTAGGAAAATGCTATATTTTTATATTGTGTTTTCATTATGTGAGTTCTCAAAGCTCTCATTCGTGAAGGCTATGTCCTGATGATCTCTTGTGGTTTCCAGAGCATGTAAAACTCTAAAGGCGAACATAGCACGCTCTGGCAAGTTTGCTTCTTGAATATGTACATGTGGAGCATTCTTGTTATTTTGACCATAATGTAAAGACAGCTTTCTTTACCCAACCTTCGTGTCTTTTCTTGGTAATCAAAAATTGTGTTTGTTCATACATTTGACAACATTGCATACTTGTTTTTCTCAAATTTCAAAACACTGAAGAAATTAGAAATTCATAAAGAGACCTTAAGAGGAGTTTTTCTAAGCAATAGCTTAAGGAAAGGAATTTGGGGGTTCAAGATTAGCACAAACTTATTACTTAAATGCCATGTTTAAAGAAACCAACTTTCTATATTGTGTTTTCCTACCAATGTTCAATAGGTTTATTTTTCCAGAAGTCAATGAGAGGTCATCCCTGAGTCAACAAAAAGATAATCTCTTCTTTTGTTCAGGAGGGGCTGCATTTCGATGATTTTCAGTCCATAATTATGTCATTAGCTAAGGTGTTTAACAGGGTTAAATGCCAATGCCCCTGAATGCATACGTTTAATAAAACACTTTCATTTTTAGAAAGGGAAAACTTATAGAGTATTAAATTTTTATCAGTTTAAATAATTATTTTATCTGAGAGAATCTTACCAAGAAATAAATGTAGTTTTACATTTAGAATTTGAATTATAGACCTTTCTGTTTATTTTCAGTAGCTATAAAAATACGTCATCTTTATGAATTAAGGCCTTGCTTCATGAGAAGCCACTGGAAATCCATAATGAAGAGTCTCAGTAGGCTCTGTCACTAATTGTGTGACCTTAGGCACATTAGTTTCTCTGAACATCAATTTTTCAACTATGAAATGATCTATAAATACTTATATTACTACTTTTAAAAAAGGAGCATGTGTTACTTGTATAATTTTTGAAAGTCAGTAATATACATTTTTTTTTTTCTTAAATAGAAAACAAAACAAAACAAACCCTACCACCATTAGAAGCTTGCTTTAAGAATTAAATAGCTTGATATATAAGCATTAAAATCTGCATAGCACCTTCCTTATGAAACGGTTGCTGGAGATTATTGCAGCAGCAGAATCTTTGATGAGCCAGGGGCATCATTCTCTTGTGTGCGGAGGGGGTGGAAATCATCTTTTATCGTTTTATGCTGAAACGTTCTTAGATCCCTACTATAGCTACTTTTGACCTATTGATTCATCCTGAATATCGTGTGACAGAGCTTTCTCTACAGTGCAGTTTGGCATCAAAGATGATTAGAACTGATGCAATCATCTACAGGCAATTTTCTTACCAATTATTTTCTAGCAGTGGGGTAAATTCTGAGGCTTTATTTCAGTAAAGCATCCTGGAGTGGCTGGGTCATCTGCACGAGTTTAATAACCGTTGCAAGCAATTTTCACTGCCTGCTTTGCAGATGTTGTAGCCAATTCATTTTTAGCCAACCCCTTTGCTTTTTTGATTTTTTTCCTATTTCTCCAAGGATTTAACCCTGTGTGGGAAGAAACCCTGACATTTACAGTGCACATGCCAGAAATAGCTTTGGTTCGGTTCCTGGTGTGGGATCACGATCCTATTGGACGAGACTTTGTTGGACAAAGAACTGTGACCTTCAGCAGCTTAGTGCCTGGTAGGTGTGGGCTGGCCTTTTCTCTCTAGACTGACCATTCCATTTTCTTTGGAAGATTTAATATACTATATGTGATATGTACAATACATGACATGTTAAATGTGTTATATCACATGCTTTGTGAAGTGTAAAGAACAATGGTAAAGTCAGAATCTTAACTGACTTGTACCAATGGGGAAGCCAAATGCAAGTTCAACTGAAAGGAAACTGCTTTCTCTTCTCTTATCAGGTTACCGGCATGTCTATTTGGAAGGACTGACAGAAGCATCCATATTTGTCCACATAACAATCAATGAAATCTATGGAAAGGTGAGAAAGATTATAGGGCTTAAAGCCTCATGCAACAATAATATGGTCCTTAACAAAATTATTAATTGACTAATTATATCAAAGGAATGTACATCTGGACAAGCTGTTCTTTAGCATAAAACTATAGGGAAGCCCAGTGAGCCCAGGATGCTGTCCTGTGCTCAGGTCCCCATCCGCATGCGTCCCTTCTGCTCTTTAGGGGTGTGTGCTCATTCCTTCCCCCCAGGGCCTCTCTGGGCTTGACAGAAAACTATTCTCTCCGGTGATCATCTGTTTGGCTAAAACTGTCTTCAAATAGTTAATTGTTGAATTTTATTTTAATTCTTAAAAAGTCCCAGCTGTCTGCCATGGGAAATGTAGTATCTCAGATGTTTGATGAATTACTTGTACTAACCAAGCTGTGATCCCAGCCACTTCTAGGCAGGATGCTTTCATTGGATGTCATTGTATTTAACAGAAAACCTAAAACTCAAGAATGAATTTAAAGCCACCCACAGGACCACAAAAATGTATTCTAGCTCTCTCCTGATGCTACTCTCTTCATTGTAGAACTCACTTGAGGTTTATAAATCAATAGGCTGTCCTCTGGTCATGCCAAGTAATTGGAAACTTGGCCAGTGGAATTAATTTTCAGAACCAGATGTGATTTGGAGGGACTCTGAGAGCATTGAGTAAGGCCCTGAAGTATCCAGTGCTCTTTCCCAGAAAGTCTGCATGGACTGGAGCTTCTGCCACAGAGGCACGTACATCCTCTGTGCCTCAGCTTTCTCATCTGTAAATGGGGAGCAAAAATAGCACCTACCTCATAAATCAATAAATATATGTTATCTTTAGAAATCTGCCTGGCATATAATAAATGCTCAAAAATGTTCACTGATGTTAATATTACCATGACTACAAGGCAATTGCTAGGGAATGGACGAATTCAGCCTAAATTGGGGATAGATGTTTCTCACATCAGTCAGGGGGTGGGGTGGTGGTGTCTAAGGATCCTAATCTCTAAAAGTGATGCAGTTTTAGTCCATGACTTTCTATGTTTAGTCCTGGGTTTCTGTTTGTGCTGCTCGTTGAGATTTTTCACTCTGGGCTAAATACATACAAATATAAATGATTGAAAAATGATTCTTGAATTTCTAGGAATCCCAGGCTAACTAAGTAATTTGTCTAGTATGTATCACACTTGAGAGAAACAATAAAATTCAGAAGTTGTTTAAAACTTGATCCAGAAATAAATTAAAATATGAAAAAGAAAGTGCTCCATAGGGCTTCTCTCTCCTAAGCAAGTGTCCACTTAGAAGCCATATTATGTATTACCTTCAAGGCCTGTTTGGGTGGGATGCACACACCGCAGTGTGGTGGTGAGCGGAGCAGTGGATGAACTTGGGGCTAAAATCGCCAGAACTCGAAGAAAGGGTTCATAGAAGCGCACGCATTTATTTCTTTCATTTTCTTCTTGCTCTGCCTTCTTGAACTGAGCCCAAATTGTGCTTGTCTGTCTGTCTTCCCTTGCAGTGGAGCCCTTTAATACTCAACCCCAGTTATACTATATTGCACTTTCTAGGAGCTACAAAGGTAGTTTCTCAGCATGGTGCTTGGTTCTTGCTGGTGTGTGTGTCCTAAGCGCTTGGGGCAGCATGCTCTCTCATGTCACCCCATCTCCCTGCGCCCCACTTCCAAACGCACATCTGTTGCTTTAAAGCGGCTGACGCGTCTAACCGTCTGTCCACTGTGGGAACTTGTCCTGCTGCCTCCTCACCTCGGCAGGAAGGTTGTGGGAGAGCTTGGCAGTGCAAGCGGGGGGCTGCCTTCCCCACAAAGGAAGGTGGCGGGCCGTGCATGACCTTGTGCAGACGCGCTGCGCGCTGCTGTTCCTCGGCCTCAACATACTGCAGTGGCCGCACAGTTCGTTCCGTGCTCCGTTTCCCGTGGAGCTGCCCTTGAAAAGGCAAAGCCCTGGGGAGGCAGAAGGCGGGTTGCGGCCGCGGCGCGGGCTGACCCTGTGCCGTCCTTTTGCGCCCCCAGAGCAGGCAGCTGCAGGGCCTCCGGGGGCTGTTCCACAAGCACCCCCGGCAGGCGGCCTCCGAGGGCGGCGCCCTCTGCCTTCGCAAGCGGTCGCTGGGGGAGCGGATCCTGCGGCGCTCGGCCAGCGCCCCGGCCAAGGGCAGGAAGAAGAGCAAAGTGGGCTCCCAGGAGACGGTGGAGATGAAGGATGCCGCGTGCGAGGCGGCCCGAGCGCAGGACGGCGTC